GCAAAATGAGCTGCAATCTATGTCTTACAATGTCTGACGGACCTTTGGTCAAGTTGCACATCCGAGCCCTACGTCAGCCTCACTACATAGACAGAGAATGGAACCTGAGAAGTTAAGGGATAATTTAGATAATTATTCATCAATATGCTTTTTTTATTTTATTTTTTTTATTGACATGCTTTTTTTCTATATCGTCCAGCCCTTGTATGTACTGATCAAACCTAAGTAGTATTATCAGTAAAGGTTTTTTACTTTGTTTTTATGGCACAACATTTTTTTAAAAAGTATGCCTTGGTGTCTATTTGTTAATGTAAGTTAATATATGTAATTAAATTTACGATCTGTACTAGTTAATGCCCACATACATCATGTTACATGCATCTGTTTGATCTTTTAGAGAAGGTTAAGCAGTTAGGAAGATGAGCTTTAAAGTTGCAACTCAAAGTACAGACAACAAATGTATGAGGAAAAAATCTACCCCTGATTTAGCAGTTAGACTTCCAACCAGTTGGTGGCAGTAATGCACCTGAAGGTTGTTCACATTAAAGCCAAAAGAAAGGAATAAAAATGGACGCTGTCGGATAAATAACAGAGCAGGAAAGAGTCAACATTTAGAGGCAAAGCTTATATCTCAGTCCCACAGAAGGTGATGAGAAGGTGTGAGAGGAAACCAGACCGGTTCAGCGGTCCTGTAAGGCGAAAAGAGACAAAGAGACATGTGGAAGGTAGCTTAAACTAAACTCACACAGTAATGGAAAAGGAGAAGTATGGTTTCATCATTTTGAAATTAAGCAAATGAGAATAATTTTGGTCATTGTTACTAACCTTTAATAGTTAGGATCTGATATACATTTTTGACTGTGATTTATAAAAAGCATATTTCAGTTGCTATTTTGGATGGAAATTTAATTTAAAATTTATTTAATTGAATTTCTCCTAATTTGTTTACTGTGAATTGGTGGAAAACCCGTTTCGTTCTTTGCATTTGCTACAAAATATATAAATTTTGCTTATGTGTGGCTGTTTATCTGCCTTCGGCATCTTGCTTGTTTGTAAGGATGTTGCTCATTGATGTTTAAAATGAAATCCATTAACTTTAATAATAAAGTTCCTACTAGGAAACCAACCTTGTTTACTTAGAGGTTTTATCACCTTTGCAGTAAACGACTTGAGGAACTTTATCCTAAAGCAGAAATATTGTCCATTTACAGGACTTCAGATCTAAAGAGCTCATAATTGAAAGAATGGAGAAAGTGACTTGGCTGTGATTCAGTTGAAATATTGGCTTTATTGATGAAATGATTAAGAGACGCTCATGAATTTCCCTCTAGCTGTCAGAGCTTTAAGTCACCTTCCTAGTGGATGTTTCTTGGCCATACCAGCCATGCGGTCTGATTTAGACTTTGAATTGAGTTGATTTAAACACTCCAGGCTCAGTTCATGTATTTCAATGTCCATTTGTGGTTTGTTCCCTTTTATCCTGACTTTTTTTCATTGCTGGACTCCTTTGTGGGGGAGGGGGTGTTAGCGATCAGAGCGTCTCCTCCGTCTGCTCCCTGTTGGCATGCTGCTGTCGAGAGTTTAAGGGCATTACTGTCACAAGGTGACCAGGCAGAGTGCCAGCCATGAAAGTAGTTGTGTTTGTGTTTTCTCGGGGGGGTCAAACGAGCTCATCTCAGCCCTGTCCCCGTCTAATCCCTCCACTCAGTCCATTCTCACGAGCAGCACTGTGCCACTTCCAAACCCCCACATTCCTCAGTCCGGACATAAAGTGCCTTTCTGCCCCCCCCCTGTCCTGTGTCCCTGTGTTCTCCCGCTGCACTCTGCCTTTTCATCTTCTGTAATCACGGATTCATTTGCGAGGCTCTCCTGTTATTGTCTGTGGCAGACAGAAGCAGACTAATAATGTGCTTTTTTTTTTGAACCAGTCTTTTGAGATTGGTCCGCTTGGGCGTCAAATTACTCTCATTTCACAGAGGGCGTCCCAACACCAGTCCAGCTTTGTGTCTCTCTAACCCCCCCACCCCAGCCGCTGGAGGACTTTGAAATGAAATTTCAAGGTTTTTTGTGTTTTTTGTTTGTTTTTAATTGAAGTTGGAATCGGGAAATGGTGGATAATGGGTTCCTGGATTGATCTCAGCTCTGACTTCGCTGATGTTAATTGCATTAGATTGCTTTGTTTTCTAAATATTTCTGCTGCTGTAATTAATCACCATAGAAGACGCAGTTTTAAACCACCTAGACGGAGCTCGGACTAAAGGTCTTTTTTTTTAAATTAAAAATCAGCGTAATTAAATTCGAGGAACAAAAGGAATCCATTTTTATGTATGGTTTTCCCATTTCATTATTCAAAAAGTGCAAATGTTCAGGTAAGAATGCAGAAGCTATTGCAAATATTAACTTAATGTATTGTTTTGGGATTAGGCATCAAAGTATGTCAACCAGGAAGCCGTTAGTAATGCTCTTACCTATCCTTTCTCTATGGGAGAGTGGATGGACATGTGGTTAAAGAGCCTAAAATATTTGTTTAGGCTCTTTGTTAATCTGTTAATTTAATTTTAAATCAACATTTAAAATTTTATTGCAAAAACATATATCTATATAATCAGGGTCATTAGGTGGGTGGAGCGGCACCCTAGCGCCCTCTATTGACCAGCTACCACTGCCTTCCAGCATTACAATAAAAAACAAAACATTACAATACATGTATGCTCTAGAGCAGGCATCCCCAAACTCGGTCCTCGAGGGCCGCTGTCCTGCAGGTGTTAGAGGTTTCCCTGCTTTAGCACATCTGATTATAATGATTGCAGTAGAGCAAAAGCCTGTTAATCAACTATCAATTAAAATCAGCTGTGCTGGAGCAGAGAAACATCTAAAACCTGCAGGACAGCGGCCCTCGAGGACCGAGTTTGAAGATGCCTGCTCTAGAGGCTAACCGATACGTTGGTGGGCCGATGTTTTTGCCCGATATCAGAGGAAAGTTTTTTATATTGACATCAGCCGTGCGTACATTCGCCTATTTCTTATTGCATTTATCAAAAATGTGATCACGTGAATTATAAGAATCAAAGAAACGTCGCCCCCCTATATCTATACCTAATATCTACTCATTTTTAATATTTAGTTTGGCTTAAGAATTTTTGTTTTAAATTGTTGCATTTGATTTAACTGTCATTTGTTCATGTAACTAGTAGGTAAAAAAATTACTATTGGCTTCCAAATAACCCCAGTTAGACTGATGTCAAAATAATTGGCATCGGCCTAAAAAAGACTTTATCACTTGATTTCTAATATGTAAAGTATTTAAGCTAATTTCAGACTGTTTATTTTTATTATCATCATGATGCTCTTCCTCTGCTAATAGCTGCATTATTCAGCTCTAGTGTAAAAACCTTTCTGTAATTCTCTATAATTGTGGGCTGACACTTTTTTTTTTTTTTTTTTTTGGCTTCGCCCGAAACATGCGTCTGCAGATTCATCAGTTCTTCCAGCAGTCATACCTTGAGGTCACCTAGGATGCAAGCATAGCTACTTCCTGCATATCCTATCCATTTTTAATGTTGGGCTCGATTTGTTAATAAATGTTTGTTTAAATTAAGATTTATGTAACATTTATCATTTTTATCATATGAATGGAGGAGATAAAAAAACAATATATTCCTATAAATTACCCCCAAAACATCTGCAGCACATATCAGTGATCTGTTAGACCGGAGATCCCAAAACTTTTCAGTTTGTACAACAATTGTACAAGAAATGGTACAAGAATCGACAAATATTTCTACAATATAAATTAAAGACAGGTGTGGTAATATAGCTAACAACATTAATAGCCAAAGTAGTTTTTTTTTTTATCCATTTTCATGCTTTTATATACTTAAGCATTTAAATGTAAATATTCAAATTAAATATTGTTTAGTTTCTTTACTGGATTTCAAGGCCCCATGTTGGTTGATTAAGGACCAAAAGAAGGGTCAGGATAATTTTCTGTCGAAAATGTGCTTTTTCAGCCGATAGACATTTAACACCGAAACTTGTGATGACGTAGCAAACACCACGGCCGGCACGCAGGAATGTTTTCGAGTGTGCAAAGTAAAGCACTGAAGCAAGAGAGGACAGGTGGCAGAGCAGTTTGTCAGAGCTGAGCTTGCAGCAAACAGGTTTTGAGTGAGAGGGTGCAAGTTTAAATCCTGAGCATGGATCTCACTGCTCCCTCAGATCAGTGGCAAAAACATGATGCCATAGAAATCCAAACGTCCCCATCAGCATTCGGAATATAAGAACGTGACACGGAAACTGAAACTGAACATTCCCACTCAGTCTGTGAAGGACATGTTTGAAAATCCAGTAAAGTTTCCCAGTGATTCTGCTGAGGTAAATGGCATAACAAAAAACATGTCGGTAGTAAATGAATATTTTGATACTTTTGTAATTGATTTATTAAAATGCCCTGATTTTACTGAGTTTATTAAACATTTATAATTATTATGTTTCTAAAAAATTTCTATAACCAAAAATGCTTTGGTTCTAATATTTGACATATTTCCTTGCGGTGTTTGTTTTTGGCCTTGGTTTCCTCTTTTATAATTTTTTTCCCCCTTCGGTTTCAGCCAAGAATTTTCATTTCATTCAACCCCTATATTAGGAATAATCAGTAGTAGTACAGGCTTTTGCTTGTCTGTGTAACCCATTATGACCAAAACAATTCCTCATGCTCTTCTTCTGATTAACCTGAACAGCCTGTTCTAATCAAGGCAGATTCATGCATTAGACCAAAGTCCAGACTGGAGTAAGCTGAGTAGATCTTCATAGAGGTTATCTAGTCAAAGAAAACCGTCACTGGTTGGCTCGATGCTTCATCCGTATATTGATCTCTGATATTTATGCTTTGATGGATTAACATGGGTATGAAATGGTTTGTTGAAATCTTAGGACAAGTGGACCTCTGCCGCCTGATTAACTTCAAATGTGTTATTTAATGTAAACGTTTTCTTTTTTAGTGCACGGTGCAGGTGAAGCTGGAGTTGGGCCACAGAGCTCAGCTGAAGAAGAAAGTGACATCAGAAGGCTTCACCCACGACTGGATGGTTTTTGTCCGAGGGCCAGAAACCGGCGACATCCAGCACTTTGTAGAGAGGGTCGTCTTCCGCCTGCATGACAGCTTCCCCAAACCCAAGAGAGGTAAGATGGATCTGTTGTTGGATATAAACTAAATGCACATTTGAACATTTTTGTAAGAAAGACAAATGTTTAAAACCCTCTGTATAAATCAATTTTTTTTCTGCAGTATGCAAGGAGCCGCCGTACAAAGTGGAGGAATCGGGCTATGCAGGCTTCATCATGCCCATCGAGGTCTACTTTAAGAACAAGGTGGGAACGGTATTTTAGTTCTAAATGTTTCATTCATTCCTGTTTTTTGCTGTTCCATATTTAAACCCGGTTCATAGTGAATCCACCTGCCTTAAGATTGTATTAACTTTTGCATAAATCTTTCAAATATTGGCTAAATATTTCTGTCAGGAATTTGAGTTCAGGGAATAATTGAACGTGGAGGAACTACACACCTCATAGGGTGTGTATCCCTAAAGGTGTAGAGGAGTCTCTACACTAAGTATCTCCTCAGCCTCTAACCAGGTTCTGCATGAGCCAAAGTCTGATGTCAAACAATCGGCTCCTTAGTAGAACCTTGCAGGAAGGTTGTCTGCAGTTCCAGGGCAGGAATTGATGGAACCTGCCCTGAAGACCTGAGGTGGCCTGCAATTTGCTTTTATTTTGAAAAATAGTTTCATTTTGAAGATATCTGCCTTCTTTTGGGTTAACTACAGTAGCATCTTGTTTTTTGTGTGTGTGAATCTTTACTGAATTTCTTTTTTTGTAAATGTTAACTTAAAAAAACAAAAAACAGATTTATAGTATTTTGCTAGCTAGTCACTTTTTTAAACTGTGATCACATACACTGTTGGTAATTAATTTTGCAAATAAAACTGAAGCTTGTTGATTTAGTTAAACCTCTAGGTTGAGATGATTGAAGCTCAACATAAATTATTTTCTAATTTTTTTTACTTATTAAATTCATTTGATGGATGCATTAATACAATAAGTGAACATTGTTGGGCAGATAATCTTATTTCTCAGAGTGGCCTTAATGTTCCCATAATGCAAAACTAATTTTTTGGGGTTTAAAAGCTTCCCAGAGGAAATATTAGTATAAGGGATGCATGATATAATCGGCCCCCTATCGGTATCGGTCTTAAAACTGAATATCGGACATCGGCCACCACACTGATATTTAACCCGATATTTGATCAGCTTCTGAGTTTCTAAAGTCTAAAAAAAAATAAAAAATACTACTTCTTCTTCCTCAAAAACTTGTTTTTTACAGACTTAAAAACTTCTAAAGACGAGGGAAAAAATATTGATACATTAAAATATCACAGTATCTTCATATGCTGATATATTGCCATTTAAAAACATCTTATCAATCTCTTTTACTAATGAAATATTGCTATATGTCATCGAAATTTTTCCATATTTTTATATGTTGATATATTGCCAAAATCTCACAAGAATATGCAAAATATCACGAGAGTTTGTAACAGAACGATGAAATTTCACAAGATTTTGAAAGTAAAATAGATCGATACCGCGTTTTTAAAAATCTATTTGATATCAGCATATGAAAATATATTTGAGTATATTATTTTTCAAAGTGTCAGAAATGGATAACAAAACTGCTATTTTCAATTATTTATTTTTTTTGTCTAGCTTTAACATCGGTACCGGTATCGGTTATCGGCTACATGAGTTTTAAAATATCGGCATATCGGATATCGGCCAAAATCCCAATATCGTGCATCCCTAATTAGTAGCTTTGAATCCTCCATCACATTAACAGAAATGCTTCTGGCTCACAGAAATTTAGGTAACATGTTTGAACTTTGGTTGTTTTGCTTCTACAACTCCAAAGCTGATCTCTTTTCAGCGTGCAGACTTCTATCGTGTCAGTCTTATATTTTTTCTTCGTTCTTCTTCTGCTGCGACTCCCAAAGGAAGTTTCATTCCTGTTTCTTTTGTTCAGGAGGAGCCAAAAAAAGTCATCTTCAACTACGACCTGTTCCTCAACCTGGAGGGTAACCCTCCTGTCAACCACCTGCGCTGTGAGAAGCTCACCTTCAACAACCCCACCAAAGAATTCAGGAAAAAGCTCATCAAGGCTGGAGGGGTAAGGCTGGCTCACTCACAGCTTTTACTGAAAAAAAGGGAAGAAGAACTGAGGTCGGAAAACATTTTAATGTGTTTGTAGAGAGAACAAAACATGCTGTTTTTGTTCTAAATTAAATTTCAGACAAGAGGCTGTAGGTTGAACTGAACAGACGTCCTGCAGAAGCAGCTTTTTTTAAAAGCTCCAGTATTAACAGCATTAAAGTTGTAAATAGTATTATAACTGAAGTAGAACTTGAAACATCCTGTAAATATTAAAATCTAATGAAAGGAAATAGATGAGGAAGAATCTGATCAATCACCTGCCATGTTTTCTTTCCTTCCACCCATGTCGCTATCAATGTTTTTTCCATAAACGGCTCCAACTGGACAGATGTCTCATCCCGCTCTTGGTTCTTCCTGTTTTATTGCAGCTGTTATGTCATGTTACCAATATTTATAGAAATAATGAGTCAGTTTGGAAAAATAAGGAGTAGAAAGAACAGATATTTGCTTTGAAACAATGTGAGCAAAAGTAAAAGGTCCTTAAGAAAAAAATGATCAAATTTAGTTTAGAAAATCTGAACTAAAGTATAGAAACAAAAAAGCTACTTAAGAACAATAACTGAGAATTGATATTTAGTTAATTAACATCTTTGTCATCTTTTTCAGTTAATTGGTGAATTTAATTCCAGGTGGTAATGTCAAACAGCAGCAGAAATACTTTCTAAATACTAACAGATGTTCTTCAATCTTTTTATTTATTTATTTATTTTTTACATGGTTGAAACTTCTTCCCTGTGATCTTCTATTTAATTCAAACCTGTAGCTTTATATTTGAACTATTAGTGGCTTATTAGGTTTGTTTCTGTCTTTCAGTGTACATTTTATGTGGCTATATTATTCAGTACTTATTTGACTTTTATCTGAATGTCATCGCAATATTCGGCTTACCTACTTCAAAGGTAATTTATTGTTTGAAATGCACTCAGTATTTTTTTTTTTATCAAAACAATGTCTAAAAATGTACAACATTTGTTGGACTTATAAGGATTAGTTAATGATGTATTCATCTTTAATAATTGTGCATATTGCAACATTGGATCAAAATGTGCATTTTTAGAGTGCATTCTAGCCTGCAGAGACAGGGCATCCTACTTGAGCTGAAAGAAATCCAACTGCAGGTCTGGTCATCTTAATTTCTTCATCTTTCTTGAACTTTTCCTTGACGTATGGCACAAAGTCTAGAATTAATCGCCAGTCAGTAAAGTGAATGAGCGACATACCACCAGCTGTTCCCCAGGTAACCATAGTTGATAACTACTTTCTCAGAAAACAGACATGCTTGGCACCAACAAATTGAGCTTTTTTTTATATATATATAGAAAGCTATTCCTGACTGGAGAACCCTGAAGAAGTGTTTTAAGGTCTTGATAGGTTCAGAAAAATAAAAATAAACGTTTGGAATTTGAATGTTTTACAACATGCTTTACTTATGTTTTGTTTTAATGCAAAAATATTTTAATAACAAATTAAGTAAAATTTTGTGAGTTAAGATCTTTAAGCGTAAAAGTTCAATAATGTCTCAGCTTTTTTTTTCTTTTTTATTCTTAAAATTTAAGAAATTGTCTTTTACCTTCAAATAAAAAGGAGGTAGATATTTAAATTTGGCCTTGGAGATTATAAATGAATAACACCTACAGGTCTAATTAAATCTTTTTTGCTTAGAAGTTGTTTCAACATTATGAAAGAAAGGTTAACATTTACTTTGACCATGATCAAAACCTTCAATATATAACAATCTGTTCTCACATTTGTTTAAATTCAAATTATTTCATTTAAGCTTTTTTTTTTCCCCTATCAAACCAGTAGAAAGTTTATTTCTATAAACTGACTTTGTGCCAAATCCCAGAGGCTCAAAATGACTGCTTCTCATTTTGAACTTGGAGTACGGTGCTGGTTTTGAATGTCAGCAGGGAAACACTGTGACTCATGTGTATTTAATTTCAGATACTGGTGGTCCCTGAGGGGGCTGAAGCCGTGTCGAGGCCCAGTCCGGACTACCCAATGCTTCCCACCATCCCCCTCTCAGCCTTCTCAGACCCCAAAAAGACAAAGACCTCTCATGTATCAAAGGTAGGACAAAGAAAAACACAATCATTTTGTTATGGTCCCCCTTGGTCACTTGTATTCTGCTCACATTGCTTTCATGTACAGATGCAATGAAAGTTTCTATCATTTCTATCTTAAGAAGAGGGCGACTAGTCAGTAATCGTTCCCAGCTGTTTTTGCGTGCCTTGGTGTGCAGGATTACTCCCTTCTTATCTGTGGAGAGAGGGCGTACATTAGGGAAAATCCAGGAGAATGGCTCCTTTAAATTTTTAAGGGATGATTCAGTTGCAGTACACTGTAGATATTTATTCTCTTCCAGGCCCACATCTTTATGATTTTTGAATATATCTTAAAAAAAAGAAGAAAAAAAAAAAGAGAGGGAGAGAATATAAAAACTTCTAGTTTCAAACTAAGGTTTCCACCCTGGCCCTCAGCATCTACCGTCCTGCATGTCTTAGGACACATATCAAACTTCTGCATCTTTTAGAGTTGCCTCTGCTTTAATGCACCTGAATCAAATAATCAGCTAATTAGCAGGACTTTAGATAAGGGCATGCATATGCTGCACATTATTTTTTATTTTTGTTGCCCTTTTTGGGTTGATTTTCAGTCGTGAGAATTTTTTAGATCGGTCAGTTTTAGACCTGTTCTGCGTCATGTAGTATGCAGGGGGTTATAAGTAGCGTCTGACAACAACATCGTACAGTCAGGATAAAATCAAGTATGTCTGGAGTTCATTGGACTAATAGGTGCACATGTTGTCTGTACCATGAATACATTCAGTAGCCTTTGTTTTTCTCTCAGTAACTGAGCATTTTTTCTAAATTTAGTCTTTTTTTTTTTTTACTTTGCACATTTTAATGATATTTCTAGTTTCAATAAGGGAGGACATTAGTTTAGACTTGAGAATAAGGGTAGGTGTCTGATTCTAGCATCTTTCCATTTTCACCAGCAGTTTTTTAACTCTGTTTTTAATCAGATTCTCTTGAAGGTCATTCAAAAAAAAAAAATAGTCAGAAACTGCTCTTATCATTTGTTAAATGACTCCGAACTACAAAGATAGGTGTCAAAACAGGAACTCGAGAGGGTTATTTATGTGTTGACTTCCTCTCGTCTAGACTATTGCGACACACTTTTCTCAAGTATTAACTACGACAGCTAGTCGTTTGCTTCAGTTGGTTCAAAAGTGCAGCTAGAATCCTGAACAGATGAGCTCACATTACTCCTATTTTAGGGTGTTTTTTTTGTACCATTTATTTGTTCATTTTAGAAAATATTTAAAATCAGATTCTTAACTTTCCATCCTGTATTACTGACTTGCTAAAGCCACATAATCCAGGTTCAGACCTGGAGACCATAAGCTCCACCCAGGGTCCCAAGAATCAGGAAAAAAAAATATACAGACTGCTAAACCTGAGCGGTGGAGCCTGCTTGCCTCTTGTTAATATTTCATATTTTATTATATATTATAGAGAAAAATCTAGTGGCTTTTCATTTTTTGAGTTTGGCAACTTCACATGAAAGCAGCAATGGTTCAACTGTTACTATCTCACGACAGCAGCTAGAGCTGCTTTGAGTCTCTTCCTCCCTCAGCGCTGCCTCACAGGCACAGACGGCTATTTCCCACAGCTAATGAATAACACTCGTACACAAAGCTGCAAGCGATTCCGCCCTGGATTAAGCAGGATATAGATATAATATAAATATTTTTCATTCGGTTCTCTGGTTGTTGTTTTTTTTGGGGGGAAAATGTTGCACTACCATTGTTACCTGATTACCACACGGATTAAATCACTAATTCACCTCCCATTGCATGTGCCTCTGATTTTATTCCTTTGGGTAAAATTAAACATGGTGATTTAGGCTATGTGTAAAAATGTATACATTATTTTATGAATTATTATGTCAGCTGCGTTTCAACAGTATTTTTAAGGAATTTTAATTGTCTAGTTTTGTTTTAGATTTGCATGAACCAAAAGTTAGCTCACCACAACGGTTAGCAAAAAATCCCTTCACTGTAATGATATTTTAATAAAAGCTTAACTAAAAATTGAAGTGAAAAGTTTAAAAACAATCCTAGATTTGATAAATGTAAAATTTGAGGCAGTATATTGAGCTTTCTGCTTTCCATTTAATATAACTTCTGCTCTTCTCCACTCCTCAGGAACCCAGCAAAGAAGGAAGTGGCGGCAGCAGCAAAGGACCCAAACCACACAAACTGACCAAGGAGCACCGTGAACGGTCGAGAAAAGACTCTGAGAGCAAAGGCTCATCCAAAGGAGACGACCGTGATGGAAGCAGCAAAAGCGGGCGTGATCCCTCCTCCTCCTCATCTTCGAAAAAGCCCTCCGAGATCAAAGTGAAGGACGAAGTCAAAGTTCAGCCCAAGGCGGCCTTCAAGGAACCCAAACTCACCCTGAAGGAGTCAAAGATGGACGGCATGTCCCCCAAAGGAGGGGGGGCAGGTAGCGGAGGGGGAGGCGGCGGCGGAGGAGGAGGAGCTATAGAGGCCAAAGCTCCAGGGAAGCGACCGTCCGCCGTGGAGTCGCCCAAACCCAGCGCCAAGAAACAGAAGAAGGGTGGGTCGGATGGGCTGAAGGGGCCGACCGGCGGGGCGTTCACTGGAACCTCTCCTCGCGTCTCTTCATCCTCTGCGGTCAGTCAGTCCTACAGCGAGAAGAAACCTTCCAAGGAGAAAGGTCGCTGGCCCAGGAGCAAAAACGACAGCCAGGAGCTGAAGGAGCTCAAGAAGCCTCCAGAGTCGGAGGAGTCCAACTCTGAGGATGAAGCATCATCAAAGTCAGAGGTATGGATGTTTACTTTGTTTAATGGATAATAGATTAATGTGCGTTTAAATGAGAATATACCTTTTTTTTTTTTTTCTCAGCATTGCTATTTTTTAATGGACATAAGATATCACTTTTTTTTTTTTTACTTTCCTTTCACATTTATTTGTTCTTTTAACTCCTGCATCGTCGTGTCTGTTCTTACAGCAGTCGGCTCCGTCTAGCGCTTCCGTTTCTACGTCTAGTTCTGATTCCAGTTCAGACTCAGACTTCGAGCCGGAACAAAAACAAGGGCAAGGTGAGTTTGCTTCTTATTTATTTTCAGTTGATTGAGTCGTCGATAGCCTCATGCAGTTTTGACTGTGAGGCCCTAAACCTGTTTATGTAAATGATATGTGCTGATAAGAGGGTCATTCTTCCTGCTACCGAAGCTTTTCTGCTTCAGCTTCTTTAATCTGGAGGAAACTGTTGCAAAACAACTAGAATAAAAGAAAACTCAATCTGTCAAAGCGCCTATGATTTCAAAGCTGAACTAAGTCACTCTGGTTTTTGCTTTTGAGCCGAATGTTAATGAATTTTAAACAAATAGTTGAAACGATTACATCTTCAGAGAGTAACTAGAGCGGAGAGGAAACAATGTGGCTTTGGTATGATTTTTCATCGGAAAACTGAGGCTTTTTATTTTCAATGATTGTCAGTCATTACCCTTTACATTTTTGTGGCTTCACTCCTGACTTCATTGCTACTTTCCTTCTAAAGCTAAACTGTTTTAGCTTCCAAGTGAGGAGTCTTAATAAAACGATGTCTTTTATAATTAAAGCTTTTGTAACACGTCCTGATGGATCACTACAGGCACAGCATCACTTACAGTGTGCTTGATTACAATGTGTCTGGGTCACTGATGCATAATCCTTATTGGTTTTCCATCAGATGCAAAACATTCAAATATTTCAAGTTTAAATGTCTAAAATGGCTTTGATGGGATGTTAATCATAGGAAATGCTACAAAGAGGCAGATTTCACTCTTCATTATAGTAATTTAGTTATTTCAATTGTGGCTGATCTTGCTGATATCTTCACATAAAAACATTTGTATGAAATGTAGTCCGATAATGATTTCAAAGTAAAAATCGCCCCTACGTCTGGAAACAGACATTTATCCGACAGTCTATGGTCAAGCGGTAGAATATACCCTGGACAGGTCACCATTCTGTCGCACGGCAACACAAAGACGCACACGCTCTCACCTAAGGAAAATTTAGAGATGCCAATTTACCTAACATTCATGTTTTCTTTGTTTGTTTTTTTGTGTTTTTATTGACAAAGTTTTCTTGTTACGTGTGAATAGACGTAAAGCTATTTCACAGGGCGGGACATAAGAAATCAGTTTCAAGTGCATGTCTGCTCTTTTTCATATTGGGTCATAGACCAAGATTTAATTAAGTATTAATTATATATTATCCAGCATTTTTAAACATCATAAATAGGATTTTTTTTATTACAATTTAATTTTGTAATCTAAATGAAAGATTACATTTGACAAATTTTTTTTTTATAAAAAAAAAAGAAGAAAATAACGGCTCGCCATTATTGGCTCCGTCCCGATAGCAGAACCAATAAAAGCGTTGTTGCGGCCGGGACATTTGGGAGATGCGCCATTTACGTTTAGTCTGGAAAATATGAGCAAGTGTAAATGTAACGAAAATTGGTTATCCAGCCAATAGTTTTCTTCATGGCTAAAACCAGTACCAGGGAACGTATATGAGGCACAGTGTATTTTGTGCAAGAAGTCATTCAAGCTCAGAGCGATGGAAATTAAGGCAGTGGAGTCGCACATGTGAAGCACGAAACACAAAGCATCAAAATGGAGTTACAGAGAAACAGCCGGTATTTCTCAGTTTTGTTCCACCCTTGTCTCTGCAACGCCTCCACTTATCACCAAATCAAACATACTAAGAAAACGATACAAAGAAAAATAGCTGCAAAAAAGACTTAGCACTGGTTATGTTGTGGCTTTAAAACTGATTTGTTTTGTTCCCTGCTAAAACAAAGTTTGTGAATTCAGTTAAATAATTGTTAAAATATATCTGTCATTTGTGTGTTTTTAGCTTTCTTCCTGTATGGGAAGCTTTTCAAAATTTGAAACATAAGTGCAGTGGTTTATGTTATAATAAACCTTTGGGTTAAGTTGTCACAAGCAGGTTTTTCTTGTGTTTCTTCTAAATTTGGTCTTAAATTTTTATTTCAAGTGGCATTAAAAAGTCTTAAAAAGTCTTGAATTTAACTTGCCTTATGCTGTAGGAACCCTGCATGTGATTATTTTTTCCAGTTTAATTTCTCATGTCTTTTTAAAAATGTACAAATACATGTGTTACATAATAATCAGATTTATTTAGAGCACATATTACAAAAATAAAGGAAACAAATCTGTGGCTTTACCTTATTAATATCTTTTAAGTTTCATGATACATACACATATGGACATTCCTTAAACGCTGCCAGATTTTAAGACAGTCTATAAATAAATAAATAAATTTGTCGTGTTACCTCGTGAGGTAGCAACAATAGCAAGGCATGTCCTGCACAACACCTGACGTTGTGTTGAATTATTTTGGGTTTAAAACAGAAGACGCTGCACAAGTGATGTACTGCTTCTCTTTGGTACCAGACCTTCAGTTGTGTTGGTTTTTGTCGAGTTCTAAGCCATTATTCAGCAGGTTACTCGCATACGAGTATCGTCTTTCCCTCCGTGCGGGAGGGTTTCAGTTTTTCCATGACCTTGAAAGCCTGCTTGTCCAGAATCCAGTGTTGCAGGTCTTTACTGTTAAACTTCAACAAACAAGTTCTTACTTCTACTACAATGCAATAATCTAGGTGCTACCTACAATTCTGCCTTCTCTTCTGTGTGGCGCCATACCCAGTTTAATCGTATTACTGCCACCTAAAGAGCTGGAAAGAGAAATGTTGTGCCTTAAGGCTAATTTATACTCATCTGTGTGTGTTGCAGTGAATGCAAATGTGTCTCCTCCCTGCCGCAGACATTCTGCTGTACCTCACCACAATTGTAGGTGTTCGCAAACACTGCTGCAGACAGGTGGCCTCTGATTGGTCAAATCTACATCCGCTCTACACTATGCGTATTTCTTGTTTGGTACCTTACCGGCTTATTTTGTTTTTTATGACCGCCATTGTGAAAAAACAAATTAAAGTTGGACCAGCTAGTAGAGCGAGGTGCAGAGAGCGCTGGGACCCTTTTTCGACCTGGATCCCCGCTCTTTTTCGCCCTCATGTCCCTCCGCTGTTGCCCAAACTTGCCCCCACTTACTCACTGCCTCGGCCGTATCTAGACCCTCTTGCATTGTGGCGTGGAATTACATAGGGCGGACCACGCTTCAACATTGGGCATAAATGGAAAAAATCTGCGACAAGCTCACTGCGACGCACTGCTGCGGGGGTATAACCAGCCCTTTACTCGTATTAAATGTGTTGTGATTAAGAATTGAGTGCTTCTGCGATTTGAAAATTGCATTTTTCTAAATTGTAATTATATTGCATATGCAATTAAGCTCTATTGGAAAGATTTGATCAGAACCATGTTCTGGGGTTGATTTCAACCCTAGCTTTCTGGTTTGGCTCTGGTTCCTGCAAAGGGACTGACTGGATTGGAATAAACAAAAGAGTGGAGAAAAAAATATAAAAGGTTTTCAGGTTTCTTCACCTCAAAGTTTAAGTTACCTTCTATGCCTTCAGGTCTGTGAAAATGGTGGCATTTTTGCTTGAAATGTAAAGGAGCAACACTTCCTCAGCAAAGTAGGCAAATGTGTAAATCTCTGACTTTAGCTCTTCATGAAGATGGATTCAAATTAATTCATAAAGTTGAGTAGTACTTTGGGCAAACCTGGTTTAGGTGGTTTAGTGTTTTATTTTGAAGATATTGCTGTTCGTAAACCCCATTATAATATTATTATTATTATTATTATGTACTTCTTAAAATTTCTTTCCTTGTGTCGGTAATCTGATACATTGATAGTTGCATCTAGCAGCCATGCATATTTGCACTCTCCGTCTGCTGTCCATTGTTCACAATTAGTTTGATTTTAATAAATGTTCCCTTTTTGTTTAATTTGAGACAGATTTTTTTCATTCAATTCAATTTATCTTTATTGTCATTGTCACAAGAACAACGAAATTTTAAAAAGTGCCATCGATCAGTGCATATGCTTAAAAACAAAAACAAAAATCATTGTCACCACCATTTACACATGATATAAGAAATAAATAACAACTGATACAAAACAACTAATAAGAATAGTACATTCTCGCACATCATCCACGATGATTAATGGTTATTTTTGGTAGCATTTAGTTTTGTTGTTGGTGTCTGGTAAAAACTGTCTGTAAGGCGGTTGGTTCTTGTTCTGATTGCTCTGTATCGTCTGCCTGAAGGCAACAGTGTAAACAGAGAATGTCCGGGATGAGAAGTGTCCTTTGTGATTTGTTGTGCCTTTTTTAGACAGTATAATAGTAGAAAAATAAATGTTGGCCTCCAAAATAAGCAACAAATTTCAAGGGTTGGTTAGACTGACATCAAATTAATCAGTGTCGGCTTGAAGAAAATGTTAATCTAACTTTTTTATTAACATTTGGGGATTTTAGTTTTTTTTTTTTTTTTGGAAAGTAGAAATTAGAAACGCATTTAGACTGCTTTACATTTACTGTTTGCAGAAGTCTTTGGCCCAACAAGTTTCAACCAGTTTAAATGTTTTTATTGTGGGTCGAATGAACAGTGTCTGTGTTTCTGTGCTCTTCTCCAGGCCCCCTGAGGTCCATGGTGGAGGAGATCCAGTCGGAAGAGTCGGACGATGACGACAGCAGCTCAGAGGAAGAGACGCCCGTCAAAACCAACCCCCCCAACCGCGACTCTCGGTCAGTTTCTGACCAACTCCTTCCCGCCATTATACTCAAACATTCAGATGTCTGAGTATGAATTATTGACCCACAAAACATATTTTACACATGCAGAGTTTATTTGCAGCATTTTTTTTAAGCCAGGGGATTTCACATAGTTTTTTTCAGCCGGTTAAAAAAAAAAAATCTACTTTTTATCAGATGCAGACGGTCGCTTAAAAGCTTCAGACATAACAGTTAGGCAGCGTTCCTTTAGTCTGTTTGAATGACCTCTGACCTTGACCTGTGCCTCTGACAGACTAAGCCTGGACAGCGAGAGTGACAGCAGCGACGGCTCGCACCGCCCCAGTCGAGACCCTGCCCCACCCCCACAGAAACACAGCTCATCCAACAACAAAGTGAGTCCCCCCACAGACCGTTTTATTTCGGGTTTGAATCTGCGCTTCTTTAACAGTCAGGCTGTTGGAGGATTCCCAGCTGCTGTGACTCAGGTATCAAAGTACACCTTAATAAAATTAAATGTGTGGAGTTTTATCATTAAAGGCTTATAAAGATGGGCTTTAAGCCTTTTAGTGTAACGATTGTATTAATTATGTTTAAGTTATAACTAAGGATTAATTTATCAATCCTGTTATCTTATATAAAAGATATACAGATTTAGCGCATAACCTATTTCTATCTAATAGGGTTGTTACAATATAAAGAAATGTTAAACCATTACTGTTCAGTTTTCAGTAACATCTTAATTTTTGTTTTTCAGTTTTGAGCAAAACATGATTGAAAGTATTTAAGCTTATTAAGCAAGTCTAGCGCCCCCAGTGGCTCAAAGTGAACAGTATTGCTCTGAGTAAAGGACAGTTTAGTCCATATTAAGTGAAATATTAAAGTATCACATTCTGGTTAAAAGAGTTGAGCGGAAAACGTGGAGCATGTTAATATTTTTATAGAAGAATTGGATCTACCTTTGATTTAGCTGAAAGATTCCATCTAATAATCATCTTTATTGTGTGCTTACATCATCCCGTCGATTTACCTTTAATACAAATCGATTTCACTACTGAGTTAAAGGATGATTTTGTATTTAAAGGTTTTTTTTTCTAATCAAACATGGATCTGGCTCATGCAAAAAGCTGCCTTCTTATAATGTAAACCAGAATCTTTTCCATTCAAATGAATTCAGCAGTAATGAACAACTGTTGATCTCACTGGTATTTTAAAGTGAATCTTCAATTCCTACCTATAACTGCTGTAATTGTCTAACCTGACTCAGCCAGATGGATTTGCTCTGCATATCCATCTGGAAACCTTCCGTTAAAGTAATTTTGGGAAGGGGCAAAAATACTGGTTAGCTGATTGGCCTATGTTGGTGATAGATGGGCCAAATAAACCAATCAGATCAACGAAGCATATGACGTACTAACAGACCGACGACAAAATCACAACCACAAGCCAGGCTACTCTTGCAGAAACCAGTCCGGAGAAGAGCAAAAACATCTTTTCCTCTGAGAAAAGCCTCCAGAGCAGTGTTTTGCTCTTCTTTCAGTGAAGAAATACTCTGTAATTCCGATAAAACTTGCCCGATAGCCACGCTAACGCTAGTTTCATCGGCTGAAGCCGCCATGTTCTTTAGACTGAACTGTCGCGCTTCACCTCAACCCGCCTCAAAACCAACGCTGATTGGACGTTCGTTTGGTGAACAGCTCCAAATTTTCTTCAACGGAGTCTTAAGACTGATTAGTGAGTGAAATCTTGAAAGCTCGTGAGATCAGGATGGTCTCACGAGGCTAATAATTGTCAGCCTCGGAACCTGTTTATGATGATTGTCTCTATTGCCTGAGGATTAATGGATGGTTTGTTTATATTTTCACTGTTTAGCAGCAAATCAACACTAGCCTTTGTTAATCTGTAGCCGAGTGTTGTAGATCTGCGCTCCTGAAGGAGGGACTCGGACCCACTGAACTCGGTCCACTCCTATTTCTTTATTTTCTTTTATACTGGAAGGATCTCTTCGTATCGACTTGTAATATGCAAAATATCAGTATATATTAACTGATATTAACAATATTAACTGATTGTCTTTTTTAATTGGTGTTTGGTTGTCTCTACTGTTTATACATTTCAAAGCAAAGAAAGGTAAACATTTAGTGACAGAGATAGGATTGTGTAGATATTTTTTTATTAGATATTTGTTTTCTTTTTTTTTATTTAGAATTAGGACGGTGCATATTAATCGATGCTTCTATGTAAATATGTCAGTTAGCTCCAGAGCTACATCTCATCCGTTGTCATAAGGCAACGCAAACATTTGTTGTTTTTATTTTTTTTAATTTTTACGGCTCTAGAGACTTTTTTTTTTTTTTTTTTTTGGGACAGTAGGCTGAAAGGAAAGGGGGTATAAGAGAAGGGGAGAAACATGCGGGAAAGGACCAAAGGTCGGATTTGAACCCAGGTCGGCCGCATCGAGGACTAAGGCCTCCATACATGCGTCGTGTGCACTAACCACTGCGCCACCAAAGCACGCCAGATCCAAACATTTATTAATACACATAACAACACAGACATTTCTAAAGGAAATAGTCAAAAGACTATTTAGAATAAAAGGCCAGAATAAAAAATGATCTAACTGCTGAAATACACAAAAGTAGAATTGATTAAAATGTTGTTTGTGTTTCTGTTGTGCTTTTATTTTATTCCCCAGATATTTCCTTAGTTTTCAATTTTTTTAAGACTTCAGATCACTTCTACTCCTGCTTTGCCTCCGATCTTTTGCTACAGGTGGTCCGAAAAAGTCCTGATTCCTCTTTTCGCTCTGAGAAGGTGATGAAGAAGGGATACGACAAGGTAGGAAGGGTAAATCAAACTTTTTACATTCAAACTCCAACTCTCCTGCTGCAAAATGAATCTTCTACTCTTACAAGATAAAGTAATAAAGAGACCAAACTTTCTGGTTACATTTTAGCATCATGGTTTCTTGTAAAAAATCTATGGACCTCAGAATGAATTAGATTAAACCCTCCTCCCCAATACCTTCTAGATCATACAGTTAAAGGTTAGTTCAGAAAAAAACTTTCAAAGTGCTTCAAACCCTCGATATTTTGTATTGACTCTGAACCTAATTATTGATTTTCATCTAATCCAGGGTTGTTGGATTATGTAGTTTTGGGGCCTTTTGAACTTTTCTTAGGATATGATTTTTACCAATTTTAATCTCGTGATATTTTGCTACCCTTTTAGTTTTCTATCAACTTTTACTAAAAACAGACCTGGGTCCATTTATTAAACGCATCTAAACAAGGAAAGGGGAAAAAAAAAAAAAAAGCAAAATACAAAAAATATTAAGCTAGAAGAGATTTTTCTTTCATTGAAACAAAGAGACTGTTTATACTTTAATACATGATTAATTTGAAAAAGGAACTTTAAGGATATTTTTTGTAAAAAGGATTAAATATTGATGTTTGGCATCTTTTACTGTGGTAAACTATGAGGCTCGACTATGTTGAAGACTGTGCAGTACTTATGCCGATCCATTGGTGGTGCTGCCACAGAAAAACTCCTACATCCGTCCACACAGAGCAGGCCCCTGCAGAGGTAAATGATGCAACATGGCGGCGCATGCAGTTTCAGCAAAAAGATGCTCTTACATTATTTCAGAAAAGTCAGCAGCTTCATTTACACTCGTTTCCATGGCGCAAACAGATTTGAACACAACTTGTTCAAAACTAAAAGTAAAATCTGGAGGACATCTTGTAGTTTAGGTGTGCAAAGCTTTCTTTAGGTCCCCACCCCTAAGGTTCAGAGCAAATGAGCTATCTAGGTTCCTGAGTCTCCTTAGCATTAAACTTTATGGCTTCTATTTTCTCCAACTTTTCGCTAAAGTTCTGAAAATCTCTGAACCCTGCAGGCCTACACAGAGGAACTGGTGGATCTCCACCGCAGACTGATGGCGTTAAGGGAGCGAAATGTCCTGCAGCAGGTGTGTTTATGAAAACATTTTTGTTTAACAACTCATGAGGATTCACTGCCTAAATTACTTTGTGGAGATTTGATGTAATAAACAAAAACATTGTTTTTAAATCTTATTGTTGGTCTGTTGCATGAAGTCCCCATAAAAACGGTGACTCTGAGCAGCCATCGTTCCTCCATTCTTCACGTCTGAATTTAACCGATTTGAATTCTCCTCCAGATTGTCAACCTGATCGAGGAGACCGGCCACTTTAACGTGACGAACACCACCTTTGACTTTGACCTCTTTTCACTGGACGAGTCCACCGTCCGCAAACTACAGAGCTACCTGGAGGCGACGGCCACGTGACAGGAAGCAGGGGGGGGCGGCGGCGCGTGGACGTCGGCGGCAGAGGTAGCCTCGCCATCACGGCCGCTCTTTGCGGAAGAGATGAGCAGAAGCGTCTGCCGCAGCCTCTTCACAAGCCTGACTGGAGCATCGAACAACCACACCGCAGAGCAGAAACACACAAACAGTCGCAAGCACACAGCACCACCTTCACGTGACCCCGGGGAGGAAGCAGGAGGAGGGGGAGGAGCAGGAGGCTGGTGTGTGAGGAAAAACCAGAGCGTCTGACCTCCGTCTGGTCAGGATTTTCACTACACTCACTTCGGATCTGTGCCGAGCTGTGGAACCCCCACCCCCCTCCTTGCACTTATACTGCTCCCGCCTTCGAAGACCTCATATCCACCTCCTTTTCTTTCTCTTCTTCTTTTCATGCACACTCCTAAATTAGCAAAGCCCCACTCCAGCTCCTTCCTTCCCCCACGCTGTCAGCTGGAGCTCGTTTCTCCTCCATCACACTCCTGAGTTGAGTTTGAGAGCAGTTTGTGAGTCTGTCAGAGCCGTGCCGCTGAGCTTCAGGAGGTCGCGTTGTCTTTGTGGTTTCTGATTCTTCGAATGTGAAACTTGAGCACAAACAGCCGGTCGCATTTCTCCCACCAGCCACTCTGCCCCACTAACCCCCAGGTTGACATTATTAGTTTATAAGCACTGAAAAATGACTTTAATTTACTTCTTCCTTTAGCCTCTCATCAGTTATGATTTCAGTAAGTCAAAAATATTTTCTTTTTTAACTATACAACCCTTTTAAGGGCGAATTGGACTCTTCTTACCTCTGCAGGTTAATTAAATTAGGACAAGGATGACCCTGAAAGTGGCAAATGCATTTGTTTTAAATTTAAGAAATGGTTCCTCATGTTATAAACATGAAACATCAAGGCCAGATTTTTACAGTGGCAGAGTGCTGAACAGTGTCTCTCTGTAGATAAAGGTTTTATCTTGCTTGAAAAATAGCTTAAAAACTAAGTTAATTCAGAAATCGAATGAAATGGCAAGAAAGCAAGTTTCTAAAAAACTTGCTTTCTCCATGGCTCCAGGCAAACACTTTCCTGATATCTCTCTATCCTTTCTTTAGTCCTTCTTTACCTTTTAAACATGTATTTTTTATTTTATTTTCCAGCAAGTAGAAGCTTTGCTGACATATCTCTTATACTAGAACAAATTTAAAATAATTTACCAAATAAAGTCTAATAAATCCCTTTTTTCAGTCTATAAAAGCATCAACCAACATTATGCACTTTGATGCCTTTTATTTTTTAAGTTGACTGTAAATCAGATAAAATGGAGGGGTGGATGCTTGGATGCCATCTGATCAGTGCATCTCCAGTGTTTCTTTTACCGAACGAGCGACTCGGTAAAGCTTTTTTTTTAAATCGGCTTGTTTTAGTCTTAGAGATGGATCATTGTTAGCAGATTTTCCTTCGATTGGCTCTGACTGACGGTCGATTAAATACGAATTAACTTCAACTTTGGTTGAAACTTTCAGGTCAAACCTGAAGCCTTTTCTTTTCTTTCCACATTTCAAATGTCAAAGTGGACAAAGTCCTCATAAATCCTGTAGAAATGAACCCAGTGATTGAAAAGTTCTGCTCAGAGCTTAGTTTCCTCATTGCTGTAAAGTTTTCAGTGCTTGTAAACACGGTGAGGAGGGGGAAGAAAAAATGGTTCCTGTGGTCTGAGACCTCCACTCTCTGTACTTTTGAGAAGATGTTTTGTTGAGCGTCTTTGCTGCAGAATGCTGAACCTTGACCCCCAACACACAGATCCCCCCCCCATCATGTTTTGCATGTGTTGAAGGGCTGAAATGCTCGCGACCACAGCAGTGGAGGATCGCTCCTGCATTTGCCTTCCAGGTGGGGTTAGGTTCTAGTGGGGGTTTAATAAAGACATAAAAGTAGCCATAATTGTTTTTCCTAAATCCAAAATAAGGGGGAGGGGGCAGCTTCCCTTTTTCTTTTTTTTCTTCTTTTACATTTTATTTTTCTACGAATGCATTTTCTGTATTTATTCCCAAGATAACCTGTGAGCTCTGAATGTATATTGCTCTTAGTTTTTTACGGCTTGTAACAGCCCCACTCCAGTGCCTTTTTCTGCAGTGCATAGCACCAAGCGGGGGGGAGAGGGGGGGGGGCTTTGCTAGTTTTGCTCATACAGATAAAAAACAACCCTCCCCTTTACAATGACCCCCCCTCCTGCCTCCCCGAGTGTCGTACAGGATGCCTGTATACCCAGTATTGTCTTAATGGTTTCCATCTTCTCCTCCTCTGATCTCTGGTCCTTTTATCCAGAATATCCGTGTCGGTCCGACCTGATAATTGATGCTTCTGGTGGTTGGCGTTCAGCTTTTTGTTTAAAAGAGAAATGTCAGGATACTGTGGTAGTTTCTCGCTTTAATTAGCTCTGCTTTGTTTGTCATTGTCGATGAAAGGCCGCTCGCTCCCTCCTCTGCTGTTTGAACGGCGGCGCATTTGATCCATGGAAGCTGGGCACTAAAAACCATAACAGTGGGGTAAAAAAGGAGCCCCTCCACCCCCTCTGCTCCACTTTGTTTACACGCCCCTGGAACTTGCTCAAGTTTATGCCGGTTACAGCTACAAACTAATAACTATTCTATTGGGATTTTACAGCTCGGTCAGACATAAGCGGTATTAATTGTGAAGTGCAAGGAAAAAGATCTCTGCACTCTGTTCTTTAAAATAAAAGCTGAGCCCTGCAAGATGGCGTTTTTATTTTTAAGACTGTTGGATTTAGATTGCAGCGATACTTTAACCTGAACCGTCCTAGTGAGGTTTAGAGTTTCTATTGCTGCTGAAGGAAAATATCCCTCAGCATGATGCTGCCACTGCCATGATGGGGTATATCCAGCAGCTTTTCCATGAAGTGCAGGTCAATAGTTCTACCCTCAGCCGATTGCACCTTGGCATTGGATCCATGCAGCTCTTCCAGTTATGAGGCTCTGGGCTCCTCCTGCCTAGCCTGATGGACGGACAGACTGTTTGCAGTTAAGCTTTCTTCTCAAACAAACCTCTGAAGGTGTCCCAGAGTCGCTAGAGTCTTAACGAGATTAGATTAGATTTACAGGATGACTCTTTCTACTCACTGGGTGGTTTTTGGAGCTAAACTGGGTCAATAAAGTTTATTAAAAGAAAAATAATTTGAAGCTTAAAAATGATAGTTATTTAAAACTATAAAAATTATTTAGGTACTGGGAAAAAAATAAAGAACGCGGGGGAAAAAAATTTAATCTGAAGATAAAAAGACAAGGTTGGAAATTGTAACAAAATCTCCCACAGTCGCTGAATGCAACATCTTAAAAATAAATCTTAGATCTCGTTTCAAATATTTATTTAGTTTTAAAGTTTAAAAATATTTGTCAGTTTTAATTCTTTTTTTTTTTTTCAAATACATTTCTGTGTTAAATCTTATTTATTTTTTTTTAACTGGAAAATATATTTTAGAAAAAAAAAAAGTTTGGCTCCAGTTTAGCTCCATGCTAATTGGCCTGAATTTTAGTTAAGGGCTTCAGCAACGGTGGCATAATTACAAAAGCATGCCACACTTTTCAGATTCTTATTTTAGGAGAAAAGGGAAAACCTTCAACTTCACGATTTTTGCTGCAGTTTGTCGACACTTTGCGTTGTTTCCCAATAAGATAAATCCGGCTTAAAAGTGTGGAAATGTTAAAGGGGTGTGAATACTTAAGAAATGAAATATTGTCCCTGATTAGTAGAGATGATCTAAAGCACAAAATAATCTGTGTGATTAGGTGATGGGAGACGAGGTCCGGGTTCCTACACGTCTTAAATTAGTGTTTCTCTTTTTTCAGTTCTGGAAAACGATTTATTTCCATTTTCTCCTGTTATTGTAAAAGTGCTCTTTATTACGTATCAAGGGCTAAGCTGCACTGAAGAGTCAGACTCGCTTATTCTCCACATAATTTATGTATGAGCGGCTATGAGGACGTTAATATTCCACTTCTTTTATTTACTATTTTCTTTCAAATGACCAAACTGCTGACATTACAGGGTCCAGTTTTCATCTACGTCCTTCAGCTTGCGTTTAACCTTTGAGCAGTTTGTGTTTCCATCTTTGGAAGATGAAACGATGAGCTCCTCCTGCATCCTAACAGATTCTGAAGGTTGAGTTTAGGAGAAGCTGAGAGAGGCTGAGTCTCCAGTCGTCCTAAATTATAAACCCATCAGATACGCTTCTGATCAGTAAACAAAATGAGACGGGAATCCCCCGAGGGGCACTGAGGCCTTCTCCATCAGACAGGACTGTATGAGCAGCAGAAATGAGGCGTGGAAGCCATGTTTGCTGCCAGGATGGAGTCGGTCCTGGTTCTGGAAAGTTGTCTCGTATTTTTTGTATTTCACGTTTTTTCCTGCGGCTCAGTTCTTTTTTTTTTTCTCTCCATCAGTTTGATTCAGGCGCTTGCTGTGTTTTGGTCCTCTTTTCTCTCAGATTATCACACACACACCGGCCCACTGTGGGACAGCTCCTCCCCCTCCTGTGTTTTGGAAAGCTTTAACTCCTCTTTATTTGCCTCCCTGCGCGGCTCAGGGCGACACGCTCCTTTTTACAGTAAGATGATAAAAAAACAAAACAACCTGGATCCACGCGGCCTTACTCACCCTGCCGGTTTGCCTCCATGCTGCCCCCCCACCAACCCCCTACCTCCACCTGCAGCCCCCCCCCCCCCCAACCCTAACTTTGAAGCGAACATAGGAGAGAATCCATGAAGAACCTTCCTCTTTCCTCTGCACCAATCTGAGAACTTCTTGATCCCAGTTCCTGAACTCTGACCCCTGACCTGGCACTCATTCATGGGGGGTCATGATAGGAAGCCCCCCCTTCCTCTAGTCTACCCCCAGTTTTATTTATGGACCTCTGCACTTTTGGCTGTGATGACTTCAGTACTTCATTAGTTACCGAAACTGTATTTTTAAGGATTTTATACGATATTTACATGCAATACTGAATCAATTTGTTTGTTTTTTTTTTTCTTTGCCAATCTTGTTTTTATTTAATTTTGTTTCTAACGGCATGTGATGTCATTATTTACACACAAACATGCCGGTCAAATCTGATTGAGGCACGTTAGTTTATAAGAGGGAATGATCCCTGTGATTTTAATGTTTTATGTGTTTTTAATCCGTTTGATGAAAGCTGAACACCAAGAAGCAGGTGGTTGGAAAAGCTCGACTGTCTGTTACCTTCCACTCCAAGTAGAACTTGAGCATGGGCCGCCTAAAGATAAATCTAATGGTTTGATCTCGTATAGGATAATAAGTCTAAACACAGATGGGCTAATTGATTTTATTTAGAAAAACAAATATAAAAGCGGAAATATTTTTAAGCAACCATTGATTGGTTCAGATTTTTCTGGGGGGTTTTTTTGTTATCGATTCGCCAACAAACCACAGAAAGCCTTGTTTTCTGTGTGATTTAAACAATCGTGATCCAACATAGTTCAGGCTTTATTAAAACTAATAAAGAGGCTCCAGGTGTGAGTTATCCTCCCAAACCGTGCAGCCATTTCCTACCGAATTGTCAAACCTGCTGCACCTTTTTGTTTCAAGTCTCCTCCAACAGGTCAGTCCTGAAAAGAAATCGGCCTCAGCCGCTGGAATCCTGATCCGTGCATCTGATCATCAAACAGTAAACTGATCGTAGCTTAGAGCTTTCTGTGCTTTTAGATCGCATTGAACTAGAATCAGGAAGTCAGCTGCTAGCAGCTAGCCAAACCTTTCTTGGCCAAAATGACTCTTCTGCTTTTCTTTCAGGTCTGAATATTTGGGTTCTGATTTGGAACAAAAAAAGTCGTTAATACTATTAAAAAATAAGGGACAAAAAAAGCACATTTCTAAAAAAGATGAAAGCAGGACGGCTGGAAAATATTTGCTCTTAAGATAGAAATCGGTATTGGTCTTTATTCCTAATGCAACATGTTACTGAAAGAAAATGATTTGGATCATCATTTAGCTTCCCAGCATGTTAGAATTTAAGCCTAAACGGGTCGATAAATCTAAATGCTTCTCTAAGCTTTTTATTTTTTCAAAAAAGGAAGAAAAAAATATTCTCAAATGAACACTGATCACCAATTTGACACAATAAAACGTAGAATTGGCTGTTTGTGATGGATGGCGGTCATTTTTTTTAAACAGCTTTTCTAGGAGCCTCTTTCAGTCTGTCGAAAAGACTGCAGCTTTTTTTTAATCCTTTTTTGCAGCAGCAAACGTCTTCAAACAGGAAAATGTTCCTTTGTTAACTTTCAGTGCTAAACTACAGTCATCGCCCCACTAAAAGGTGGAGCGGTGACGGCGTTAAGCGGCCCATGCTCGGTAGAAATAACTGGACAAGAGGAGGAAACAAGATGTTTACTCTGATACCTGGAAATGATCTCATCCTGTATCATATCTGGTTTAGGATTTGTTTTCTGTTTGTTTTTGTCTGAATCATTGACTGTAAACAAAGTTTAATCATCATTTGATTGTTATTTTGACTGCGTTACAGAAGAAATAAATCCCAGAATGCAGAGTTGCAAAGTGAAGGGAGCTGCTAGAAGCTCTGCTTAAACCCAGTGCTTTTTGTGCCTTGATGACTTTCAAATAACTAGAAAATATTTTTGATCTACTTCTGTTCTCTTCCTCGTCCAGTGAGCTTAGGATCATGGGTAATGTAGTGTAATGTAGAAGCCCTAACCGTCAAGTGGTAGAGGAGGGGAAATAAAACAAAACAAAATGGCAGCAGAGCCTTTACTCTGTAGCTCTGCGAGGTTCGGCTCAGGCTATATTATATGTAATATGTGTTGTTGAGCTGCAGAGGCTGGTTATCTACTGTGTGGATCCTTAGCAGATGGAGGGAAGATCAAACACGGGGGGGGCAGGCCGGGTGTTTCCTGTGTCGTTTGTGTCATAATGTGTCTGAGGGGACAGGGTCGCCTGCATCTATTGGGGGGGGGGGGGGTCAAAGCAACCAGGAGCAGAACAAACGAACTGGACGGACGGCAAAAAGAACAATTTGGTATTTTTGAAACAAAACAAAAAACTTGGCATTGCGATGCCACCATGTGGCCATATGATGCAAGTTCTTAACGAGGATGAAACCTTATTTTAATGTTATTTTTTATTTTGAATTCATATTATTAATAAAGTCATTAAGAACTGTTGACCTGTGTGTGTGAAGTCTGTGACCGCCGTGTGACCCGGGTTCATGGGAAGTTCAACCCCACTAAGGGGTTAAAAGGACAAGCAGCAGGTGGGGGTGGGGCTGATCAATAACAGGGCTTATTATTATGGGATTCACAACTGGATAAGAACGCCGTGAATAGGAAGAGTCAAATCCATCTTTCCGATGTCTGCAATACAACCTCCGTCTGGTGGAGCGGGAAGGTTTTACTTCCTGTTGGGTGGTTGATACTGTGATTCAAAGATGCAGGAAAGCAATCAGATCCTAGTTTTTCCAGAAAGTTATGAATTAATTTCTCTTTTTAAGGTTTTAGTTCAGATTTTTGTTGATTGTTAAACTCTTTCCGAGTAGCAGTTTAGCGAGCGGTGGCACTCTTGGTGCTTTTTCATGGGGGCACCAAATAAAGGAATAAAATAAAAGACATAGGTTCAAAGTTTGAATTATTAAGTTAACCAAGAAGCCATTTTCAGCTCTGGAAACCTCCAATCATATCTAAACTAATCCTATACAAGAGCAACAGCTTAATTTTTATATCGATGCAATAAGGCTGCAAAAACAAAAAACTGAATTCTATCCGTTTCTGTTCAGAGCATCTTATTTATTTCTCATACATTTGCTTTTCTGTTGTGGCTTTGGTACAGGGGCCATAAAAGGGATTTGGATCAGTTCTACCTGGGGGCCCGTATTGAACCTCCAATCCTATGAATGAACGATCCAGATTAGAGTTGTGAGGAATTGGTTCCCGTTTCTTTTTTTTCAATAAAAAAAAAAAACGACTTATGTTTTAAGCAGATATCTTTCTCATACTTAAGTGTTTTAATATTTTGTCGTTCTGACAAACAGCTTGAATGTCATTGTTGGGATTTTAGGTGACAAAGATCTGAAAATAGTTGCTTTTATATGTAACCCATTTTATCCCCCTAATTAGTGATTAGAGCCCATATGTCTGTGTTTAAGCGCTGAATATAAATCCAGATTTTCTGTGAAGGCATCAGATGTTTATCAGAACAAACATGATGTGCAAGAGACGCAGAAATGGAGATTTAAATACCCAAATAGAGAATAAGGCCCAGCACCAGCTGACTAGTAAATAACCTGGAAACAAGTACAAGGTTTTGCCTTTTAAATGTCAGTAATGTGAACTCTGACTGTTGTGATTTTTCTCTTAATAATACAGATTCAGGTACCACTGTAAAAATATATATTTATACAGTGAGGGAAATAAGTATTTGAACATCCTGCCACTTTGCGAGTTCTCTAAGAAATCACTGAAAGGTCTGAAATTGTCAACGTAGGTGCATGTCCCTTTAAGAGACATAATCTAAAAACAAAATCCAGAATTCCCAATATATGATTTTTTTTAACTAAATTCTAAGTATTTGAACACCTATCAGCTAGAATTCTGACCCTCAAAGACCTGTTAGTCAGCCTAACATATCCACCTCCACTTCATTTATTACTCAATTAGGTTCACCTGTGTGAGGTCGTTAGCTGCCTAAAGACACCTGTCCACCCCATACAATCAGTAAGAATCCAACTCCTAACATGGCCAAGACCATAGAGCTGTCCAAAGATACTCAAGAACTGGCGACTGTTGGAGCAGTCATTAGAAAATGGAGGATGCTAAACATGAGTGTCAATCTCCGGTGGTCTGGGGCTCCATGTAAGATCTCACCTCGTTGGGTCTCAATGATCGTAAAAAAGGTGAGAAATCAGCCCAGAACTACATGGGAGGAACTGAGTCAATGACCTGAAAAGAGCTCTAAATGTTTGACCTATGTAATTGTAAACAAAGGCTACTGTACTAAATATTAACATCGATTTTCTCAGGCATTCAAATATTTATTTGCGGCTGTATCATACAAATAGTTTTAAAAAAATCATACATTGTGATTTCTAGATGTTCCTGTTTGATGTTTTCCTCACTGTGTTATGGTATTGTTAAAGATTTGCTCTGTGTCTGCACCTTGAAGCTCTATCTCTCTGGTTCCTTTTCCTGAAAAGAGATCACTCCGGACAAACTCTTCAAATAACACTTCATAACTTATATGACAACAGATTTTTATATAAATTGCTATTTTACTCGGATCAGATAAGTTGCTTAGAGTTTACAGAGGGCAGCTGCTCACGTCTCAGGAAGTGGCCACGATTAACAGTTAAAAAAGCATTTTATACATCTCCCGTCTGCCACATCATCATATTTTAGATCATACATGTTAGCAGATGATGAGACATCCATGGCTCCAGCCTTATCAAAATATTACACTTTTTCTTAGCGGAAGGATACGCTCTCATTCCATTCCCAAATCTTTGCCACGTGCAGAATGAAGATTATAACTGTATATCCGGACAGAGAAACTGTCTTAATTAGATTAACTGTTGTGGAAAACATCAGTTAAGGTGTAATAAACTCACACATCATCAATAATAATTATCCTAACAGTACAGTACAGTAACAATTTTTTTCTGTTTCTTTAACTAAAGAGAAACAACTTGGTTTCTATAGAAATTATCATAGAGATGGTTTTATATTACGTTAGCAACCAGATGAAAGCGATTATTGTTTCAGAGAGTCCCAAAATCTAAAGGTTTAAATTGGCCCTCACTCTGGTTGCATCATAAGGCAAATCTCAGCTTCCATTTTTAATTTAGTTTTCTAGGTTTATAATAAAAAATGTCCAGGGGAACAAGGAAGTAATGGAATCACACAAGTCAGTGTTTTCCCTTCAGAGGAGTGAAACCAATGAGGAAAATGTCTAAGATCCGTAGAGACGCACAAAAGAAAATCAACAAGTGCTATGCAACTCAGTTTTAACGTGAACATAATTTGACATTTTATAGGTATAGTACAGTATAGACAAAGCCCTCTATAATCAAACGTACCACATGTTCCTGAATGCATCATGAAGCTGTTGGAGGGACTACAGTGCTGCTTTGTGTTTAAATGCTACAGGAAACATGTTTAGGTTTCTGCTGATTTTCCTCCAGTTATTTTATTTGAATTTTTAGAAAGGAAAAAACACTTTATTTTGTGTGTTTAGGAAGTTCTATGATAATCACTTAAATTGAAAACCATAAATTCAGTCTTAACTGCTTCTTGAGCAGTGAAATGCAAAATGGTGTCATTTGAAAAGAGAACTTTCAAATTCCGAGGAACTGTACAGTTCTTCTCTTTAGCTCAGGTCAGATGCGTCTGAAGTCTCTAGATCAGATTAGGATTCCTCTATGTGGTTTTCTCCCTGTTGTTGGGGCACTTTTTCCTTTTACTTAACTTTATTTGAATATCCTCAGCTCCAGCTCGCTGTGAACATCCATCTTCCTAAGCAGTGATCTTTTCAGGACGGCATCAGTGACGTGTGTCTAATCTGCATTCTTCTTCATGATTTTGTTCTTAGACTGAGAAGAAAATTAGCTGTTTTTTTCTATGTCTGAGACAATCTTTGGTTTTATGCTTAAACCAGAATGATCAAAATTACAAGAAATAAAGCCTTAAATCTCCTGAAGCTTCACTTTCCAAAAGTAGTGACCATAACTATAAAACATTTTTGAAGGTTATAAACATTTTTAGACATGTGCTCATAGACCTGCTCTCCTTCCTGGAGTCTGTTTAACATGTGAAAAGAAGCTGCTCAGGCTGCTGCTGTTCTGTTAAAGGATGAGCTTGACTTTCAGTCCTCCTCCTGGCCAGTAGGAGGCGCCCTCTCACTCCTCCTGTATAGTTTTCCAGGTCTGCCCTACTAATCAGAGACAAAGGGCCAGAAAAAAGAAAAGCAGACATTTAAATTACTTGTCTGAAAGAAACCTGTTCAACATGGCTAAATATTAACTTAAAAAATGCATCATAATTTCAATTAATTTCAATTAATTTCTACCAACACTCCAGTAATTCCATGATTAATTCCCACTTTGGGATCCAGACCTCATCCTACTGTTCCTTTCAGAGCTGAATCCTTTTGTGTAGACATTTGAAGCGTCACTATATTCATAGATTGTAGATCTGTCAATATGTGCAGGTGATTTATCTACTAAGTTGAAATGCATGCTGCATGTTCCAGATTTCTATTTGCATAAACCGTTAAAAATCAGCCTTTCTTCTGTCCATGGCGTCAGTCAGAAAAACCCAACAAAGCATTTCAAATTTTAAAGTCTCACTGTCATGTTTTTTTTAAAAGATGTTTAAGGTCACTTTGTTCTACCAACAAATATTTTTAACCAAGCAGTTCAGCTTGAACTAATTCCCCATTGTTGGTGTCAAAGTGTGATGGTTGGTTTCAATTCTCCAGAAAAACAAGTAAAAGTCACAGAAAATAATCTGCACACAAGATTTGAATGAGGATTTATTCCAGAACAGATTAAAGGAATCTTCACATTTCTGTCAGGACAAACAGGCCATCTTCACTTTATCTCTGCTGCATGAATCAGGCTCTTATCAAACAGCAGCTCAGGTTCAAGTGAATTCAGTCTCTGCCTGCTTTACTTCTCGCTCTGATAACAGGAACAAGTTTTCTGATGTTTCACAGATAAACCACAGCTTTACTTAGAGCTGCATGTTTTCTTTATTTAAAGCCACCTAACCCCCCCCCCCCCACACACACACACACACACACTGAATCACCATCATTTCCTTTACTTAGCTGTTTAAATAAGTTATTTACAGTTAACTTTAGCTGCTTTAAGAGAACCAGAGCCACAAAGTTATCGCTTCCTCTTCCACCGTATGTCATTATTTACAACATCCGCATGTAAACATCCGCTGTACTGAGTGCAATACGCCTTATATTTCATAAAATTCAAAAAAAATCTTTAAGAAGGCCAAAAAATAGGTGATTTTCGCTGATGTAATAATCTGACATATTCTGACAAATGTACATTTCAGGTTAAAACGAGTCGATTCGACCAAGAGAGAAGAAGGAGAGCAAACCTATTGACAATACTTACAAACATCAAGGAATCAACACAGGAGATTTACAGGTACAAAAAAATAAAAGCGACAGATATGGCTTCATGTTTGGAGACAGCTTTGAGTTCAAACGTTACATTTTCTGCAAATAAAACAATTTTCTTCATTTGTTTTTGGTGAGAACGTCAACTTTGGCAAACTAAAGAATAAATAAATCAAGTCAGTCCATTTAAAAAACAAAATAAACAAAAAAAACATCCTCTTAACTGCTGTGTTTGGATTCTGTGTCTTTAGCTCAAGTTTTTCAGTGCGATTTCCCCCATAAACGGCTCAACCCCATCCGTCAGCCATCGGATCCAAACAAATAGCTGCATTTATATTTTAAACTTTAAAGCTATCTGCTTTTCTTTGTACAAGACCCGACATATACCGGCCTGAGGCAGAAAAAGGAACAAAGAGGAGATGGACTGATGAGGCAGGGGGTGACGTGGAGCCGTCTGACGGTCGCTGCTGGGAAAGCTGCGTCTATTTGGGAGGCAGCTGGTTGTCCTGGCTCGCTGGAGGCGCCGTCTCTTTGTAAAAGTTTTCAATCTGATCTTTGTACATCTTCAGCACTACGGGCCTCTTCAGCTTCATGGTGGGACCTGTTGGACAAAAGCAGATTAGAGTTATGAGCGTTACTAGAACTGACGCTAGGACTGGTTTGGTTGGAAAAGCTCATCAGTTATATGAAGACTCTCTTTATTTAGAACGTCTGTGGTTCTATTTATTGATGGTACACTGACCCAGCTCGCCTCCGCCGACAGAGAAGTCCCGGTCCAGAATGACCCACTTCTGAATGCGCTGGGCGTTGGACGTCGCCTTCTCGTTGACTCTGTTGATCCCCTCCTGGATGGCGGCGTGGACGGCGCGGTCCCGACCGCCCGCGACCTCAGAGACGCGCGTGGCGTTGCTGCCCAGCCTCCTGCAGAGCTCCACGGCCTCTGGCGTCAGCTCATCCTGTGGGTCGCCCGTCTCTGGGTTCACTTGGCACTGCGGGACGAGAAAATCAGCTTTAACTGTACAACCTTTTATTATTATTTATATCCAGGATTATTTACAATAAATAAAGAGAATTTTTTTATTTCCATTTTTTTTTTAAAACAACAAAAAAATGCTACTTTCATTTACATTTTATTAAAAAATGTTTGAAAAAACAAAACTTTACCAACAACCAACAGAAAAGTTTTACTTTATTTGCAGCATAAATAAACCCTTTAATTGTTACCCAGAATTTACTTATGATCTCTTATTATTGTCTATTTGTTCTTTATGTTAGAGGGCCTCCTCACCATCACCCTAATCTTTACCTCGCTTCATACAACCTCTGACTAAAGTCAAAAAAGCAAAACCAGCAGGTATAGCAATAACCTTGGGTTTAAATGGAATTTTATGCCTATGTCATTATGAGCTGTGAAATTTTTTTACCTACTTTTGGTTTTTATGTTTATTTTGATCAACTTATTCCCATATTAAGGCCTTTTTTTATTGTCTATTAAAATAAGATGTAAAGATGTAGTTTTCTCAGGGATCACCAGATGGCGGTGTTGAGCTTTAAATAGATTAGTTTCTGACACTCCATCTGATTGCAGTTTAACTGGCTGCTGTAGAAGGCGGCTAAATGCCTCTGTTCTCACCTTGACAGTGAGCAGCATGGAGAGGAACTTCCTCTTGTCTCCGATCAGCATGGCGTTGCTTATCAGCGGCACTGCTTCCTTTACTGCGTCCTCGATGGGAACCGGAGGGATGTTTTCCCCTCCTGCTGTGATGATCAGCTCTGCAGAAAACAACGCAATGAAAAGTCTGGTCGTTTGGAGGTAGGAGGGATGAACGTCCCCGGACAATCTGAGGAGTACCTTTGATTCTGCCGGTGATGAAGAGGAATCCGCTGTCGTCGTGTTTGCCCAGGTCACCCGAGTGCAGCCAGCCGTCTTCATCAATGGCCTCCTGAGTCTTGTCGACGGCGTTGAGGTAACCCATGAAGACGTGTCGGCCCCAGAAGCAGATCTCCCCGTTTCCCTCCTCATCAGGGTTGTGCAGCTTAGTTTTACACCCAGGGATCTCTATACCACAGCTGCAGGAGCACAAAAAGCAACATTGTAAGCAGAGTCTTTAACATGCTCTTAATTTGAAAACGACAAAAAAAGACTAAAGGCTATTTCCAGGCAGTAAATCAGTAGAACCTCGACTCTGAACATCTCTGATCAAGATGCAGAAACAGCTGGAAGTTAGTTAGCGAGAGCAAAGCTAATGGGCCGATACTGCATAGCCAGTTATCGAGTATCGGTATCAGGGCCAAAAAATGGCATCGGCACAACACTGGTAGAAACAATGAGAAGGTCCACACCACGGAGCTTCGCCTTAGCATATTACAGCTGATTACCCTTTAGTTTATACACTGAATGTAATCACTGAATGTAATCAATATATATGAAGATACAAAACTTTTAGTTCCACAATATTCATTATTTGAATGTTTTTAATATAATTAAAGGTATAGTGGAGGATGTTCTTTTCTCAGGTGGATCATCTCAATAAGTGGTCCTCCTAATTGTCAATCATTCTGGTGATGTGTTTACTTAAGGCCGTCCTACGTCCCCATTTTCACTTACTGGTGGAAAGTCTTACATAGTGGAAAAACTGCTGATCTTCTTTTGGGCGGAGTGTTGGCCTAGTGCTTAGAGCATTGTGCTTGTGCTCTGAGAAGATTGCAAGAACCTGACGCTCCACTCTGGGTCCCTGAGCAAGACCCTTAACCCCACACTGCTCCCTAGGCGCCACACAATGGCGGCCCACTGATCCACAAGGGGATGAGTAAAATGCAGAGGTAAATTTCTCCAGTGTGAGATAGGGTTGTCACGATACTAAACTTTTCAACTCGATACCGATACTAAGGAAAATATTCGATACTCGATACCATTTTCGATACCACAAGAATAAAAACAAAGACTCCAAAATTCTACAGAAATATTTTCATTAATAAATAAAATACAATAAATAAATACAATAAACAATAAGAACAATATTTTGAGGTTGTATGCTGTGCACAATATTAAGCAAGCTTGATAAAAAAAACATATGAAATTAAAATAAAGTGTTCCTTACTTGGCTATGCTTTGCACACATAACAATGACACTAGCCAAACCGGTTAAGAAACAAAAATAATTCTCAGCAGCTGCACCTGTTACAGAAAAAGTCTGAAACTGAAAAGTGCGTAGAATTATTCAATCACACAGTGTTCTGACAGTGCATTGTCCTCTATTCTGCACTTTAAATGAATGACTGCTTAGGTGCCACTGGTGGTAGCACTGTCTCGATACTTTTAAAAATGAGTATTGTATCCGGATACAACATTTTGGTATCGATACTTTTTTGAGTATCGATACTTTTGACAACCCTAGTGTGAGATCAATAAAGTTTAACTATAATATTAATTATTATTAGAAAGTAAGCTTGTATGAGTGATGCAAAGAGCAACTTTTAAACGGAGCGTGCACGAGGAGAAATGGGCTCGTGCACACTCTCACTGGAAAAAAAATCTAGATATGTCATTTCATTCTTAAAATAAGTGCATTTATTCATGGTTTGAGGAGGTAAAAGAGACATTTTGCCAAAGGAACAAGAGAAATCACATTTAATTACAATAATTATCTTATTTTAAAAGTAAAAATATTAATTCCATTGGCAAAATATCTCATTTAACTACTCAAATTAACAGTAAATTAACTTAATGTAAGTAATCTTTACTTATTTCTAGATCGTTTTTCCAGTGCTCGTTTACTTGTTTGATTGGCGTTCCCTTTTGGCAGAGAGTACAGGGTTGTGCATGTGCATTTTTTTATTGAAAGTGGAGAGGGTAGGTGTTTTCAAAAATTCGCGAAAATCCTCCATAATACCTTTAATGAGTTGCCAGAATATTATGGAATTTAATATTTTAGCTAAGTTTGGGATTTTCAGGTTTATTAAATCTGTTAATGAATAATAACAAAATATTCTGAATATATTCTAGTTATCTTTTAAGGTGTTTCTGACCTTATCTCAAAACAAAGGTTTAGTGTTTAAGGAAGACTTCTGATTTCTTCTTAAGCAGATTAATGTAGTTTATCAACATTTTTCTCTTCATTATCTCTGAGTGAATCAGATGCATTACCACCATCTTTTACAATCTGATGCCCTATTTATTCAAATGCAAACAGCATTCAGACTTCAACTTTATTCAGATGTGGGATGAACTGATCCGCATTTTTTCCCACATCTGATCCGATATCTGCTGATCCCAACATTTTCCGATACCAGAGCTCTGTTTGCTTTAATGTTACCATCCTGTCTGTTGGTTTTATTGAGAGGCTGTCATGGGCTACGTTCGCACTGCAGCAGATTCTGTTTTTTGCCCATATGTGACCTGGATCTGATCTTTTCGTGACAGTCTGAACAACAGAGATCAGATTTTTTTCCATAGCCAGGAAGAAAAACAACAACCATGATGGACAATAATTATGAGAGCAGAGATTGCGTTGTTGATGCGCGGACTCTCTGGTAGGAAAGGAAATGAACGGTGGAGAGCTGTGCTCCAGCTCTACCAACGATGTTTATTTCCATAAACGCACAGCGCGCGCATAACTTGTTACGTCATTGCATCCTCTACTGCGCATGCGGGACACACGTTACAATGCAGAGGTCGACATGCTGCACCAATAGGAATGGTAGGTTAAAGTTAACTGAGTGGAGCTCTCTGACGGAGTGGAGAAAAAGCTTCCTCCCACTCTGACATTTCTTAGATTCAAGCCAAAAAAAAAAAAAAAGAAATTGAAAGGAACATTGGCCAAACATTTGAGCATTGGAGCTGATATAAGGAAGCATAGTGACTCAGATAAGAGGCAGAGGTTTCTGATTTCCCTCTGGAAATTCAAGTTGACTGTTAGCATTGGCTAACCAGCAAACAAGAACAGGGAAACATTCTATGGGAGGAGTTTAACCAGCAGGTATCCCCTAAATCAAAGACATATACCCCAAAAGAAGAAAACTTTTATGATGAAGAGATTTTTAACCTAATTTAAATTTATCACAGAAATAGACTGAATAGATCGAATCTTTCTCCTAATGGATCAGGTCCATTTTTACCAATACTGGATCCAGAATTATCTTCAATGATCAAGACTGATACTGATATTATTTTCAGATCTGTGCATCTTTAGATTCTTTACTTTTTAAACAAATATTCTCTTCTTTGTTCTTTCTCTGCTTGTGCTGATGTAATAAATGCTCCATGTTGCCTCTGACTGACAGGTTTAAAGGCCTTCCTGGATGTTGTCAGAGTGAATTCAGAGAAGCTGTACCTGGTGAGTTTGAAGGCCTCGGGTTTGGAGATGGTGTGGGGTCCGGTGCTCTCGCTCATGCCGTACAGCTCGTACAGAGGGATATCCAGGCTGAGGAAGAACTCCAGCGTGTCTTTGGTGATCGGCGCGGCGCCGGTGTAGCATTTGGTGCAGCGGTCCAGACCGAGAGCCTTACGAACTTTCTTAAACACAAGCTTTTTGGCCACCTGATAGCTGAACGGTGCACGGCCGGCTGCTGCGTTTCTTTATGGGAGAAAACAAGGAAGGAACATTAAAAAAATAATAATATCAGTAGGTATATATATATTGCGGTTCTGTCCATTAGATTAAACAAGCAGGAAGTTCTTCAGAGCAGCCTTACTGGTTCATCTTGGTCAGATTGGTCTGCAGACCGACATCTTTGGCCCAGGCGGCCACTTTCCGCCGCACGGCTGAAGATTTGGCTCCGACTGATTTCATCCTCTCCTGCATCTTTTCCCAAACCCGCGGGACGCCCATGAAGGCAGTGGGACGCACTTCTTTCAAAGTGTTCACCAGAGTCCCCTGAGAAAATGCATTCAAAAAGAAACATTTTACCCGATTATCAAACCTTCGCTGAAAAAGCCTTCAAATAAACTAAATTCATGAGGAAAATCCAATAAAAAGGGCCTTTTCTGTTTGTGTAACGGTCACATAGCCTTAAGGGCGTCCGTGTCCTGTAGATAATCTACTCTTAACAACATGCCATGCTTTAATAGTTATATGAACACATTGAGGTGATAGATAAGATGGAAATGGCTGCAGAATAAAAACAATCCTTGTTAGGAAGCAGCTGAAGTGGAAATTAATTTTAAAGGATTGGTTGCAGCAAACTGACACCATCCTCCTTTTTTCTAAATGTTTTTGTTCTCAAACACGAAAAAATGTGATATATTATTTTCATTTCTTTGAGATCAACTTTGCAGGATGATAAATCTGCTTTTTTCTTTCCTGCAGCGCAGTAAATCCTCAGAACTTTATGACCTGTGAGATAAACGTTGAAGTAAATCAACACACCTGTAACAGTCAAAGTGCACGGAACATGAGGGACATCATAAACGTCCGTTTGATAAACAGGAGTTTATCTGTTCTAAAACTGCCTCACCGGTGAGACCAAAACATGAAGAAGTGAAGCACATTGGGACCAATAAGCCATGGAGGGTCAAGCGTTGTTTATTAATTCAGTGTTTGAACTGGATTGAGAGATATAAAATGTAGAGCTTTACTCTGTAGAAAAACATATTTAGTGTTTGTTTTTATATTATAAGAATCTCTAATTGTTTGGCTTTAAGTGCATTGTTTTTACACCTAATCCATAAATAGTTAAATAACCAGAAGATGCATTCTACACGCCATCTTTAAAGCTGGGAAAAAAATGCCTTAAGGAGTTGCCGTAGTTACACTTAACTCTTTCTACCTATTCAAACGTTTAGCAAACAGCTAATGTTAACAGTTCAGTCTGAGATTAGGTCAGACTGTTGTCAGCTGCTCACCTTCAGGGCGTCTGGCTGAGCGAAGTAGGTCGCCCCTCCGACCCTCATGATGACCCAGATGTCGACCATCTGCGCCGCGATGTGACTCAGCGGCAGGTAGCTGACCACCACCTCCTGGGACTGGGTGGCGTCCTTCAGGTGGACGTGTTTGCCCGTTGATAGAGCGGTCCAAGTTATCTGAACACACAGACACACATATTTTAAACTGAGGGTATAGAACATTTAAATCAGTACAAAAGAACAGCTGGGAGGTGATTAAGATTCAGACTTAATTCAGGCATAAAATCACCAAAAATTACATTTTCTTTCTGCCAAACATTTCCCCTAAGCAAAAGGGAGAGGAAAAAACTAAATATCCTTTGCCAAGAAGCTTACAGACAAAATAAAGCTAAATCATAATGCATTCGTTTGATTAAATCAGTAAACATTTTTAAGGAAACTATCAATATGTATAAAACATAGAATAATAAAATAATTGACATAAGGAAAACCTAACATGAGCCTCTTCATATTAATATTAAATAAAAATACTTTGTTTTTACATGATTTAAACACGTTTGAGGTCTTCATGAATTGAATTCCTCAGTTTTATCCCAAAAACTGAAGCGTTGGACCAAGAAATTGGTTTCATTTTTTTTTCTTATCCTCCACTTATTTTCTAAATGGAGAAACTGTTGTATTTTTTCTGGCAAACATTTACATCTTGCTTTAAATATAATTCAGTGTTTGTAACTTGAGCAAATCTGGAGCATCTCTAATAACTCTGTAGCTGGAAAAACAAACTGACCCTTTAATGAATAATCTAACCAGGCTTATAAAACATCCCAGTGATGTAAAAGTTCACACTGGTTCCTTTTCACTATAACCCCAAATATCAGCTTAACAGTTTGAGATCTTTTTATAGTAAATTATTAAATTTGTCGCAGGATTTGAAGCGATCACGTAAAGCCAGAGAGGATCCGTCGTTTCGCTGTGATCAGATAAAGGTTCACTTGATCTGCTGAGTAAAGCATAATGCGTTTCTTTCCCCATAAAACACGCCTTGCTGAGGTGCAGCACTCTGTTATGGTTGTAAAACAAAATCAGCTGCATTTTTTTTTTTTCTTCTCCAGCCTGAGGGTCTTAAAAGCATCACAAGATCAACCTGAGGCGTTCAGAGATGATCAGCAGTGGAGGAAAGAGGAAAAACAATCCTTTGTTGTCCAGGATCTTCTCTGTTTTAGTTTGAATTATTATTCGGATTTTAAATATTAACTGAATTATACAGAGTTTAGCCATGAAGGATGTTTTATGATGTATGTTTTCATGCTTATTTATTATCATAACAGAAACATATTGTATTAAAGTGTTTGTAATCCTTCAATCTTTCTTTAATTGGATTTCCCATACATCTATCTGGGCTTCACACAACCACAGAGTTTTATTGCCTTTTCCTTTTGTAAAAGATCCTAAATGTGATGATGTAACTCCTCCAGCTGAGGCTATGCTGTGTGTTTAGGGTTGGCTGTGCTGTTGGAAGGCGAACCTTTGTCCCAGTCTCAACCTTTTCTGATCTTTAATGCATTTTGTTCCAAGATTACCCAGCATTCAGTTCCTACATCCTCTCCCCAAACTCTGCTGAACGCAGAATAATCCTCCCACCGCCATGTTTCACCTGAGAGATGCTGGCTCATTGTTTTCCTCCAGTGTTTTACATGTAGGGCAAAAAGCTTGATTTGTTCTCTTTTCATCTGCTCCTCTTCTATACAGGACAAAAAGCTGTTCCATTGACAGTGCGCTGCTCCTCTATAGCTGATTCCTCCCTGCCCTTTCCGTTGAGCCGTTTGTTCACTAATGTTCTCTAACAATCCTCTGAGACTGAATTTAGGCTAAGTAAAGTACAAACTGGTTAAACTGGGTTTTACGTTGGCTGCATACAAACGCTTCCTGTTTGTTGTTTTGCATTGATCTGTCACCTTAGCATGCAGCACAGTGATGCCTTTTGTTTAAACTAGCAGGGTGAAACTGTTAAGGGTGAGCGACACACTGCTGCCACAGATACGGCCGAGGCGGGGAGGACCAGTTTGTGCGACAACAGAGGGACAGGAGGGCGAAAAACAGCAGGGATCCAGTAGGAAAAAGGGTCCCAGCGTTCTAACGCATCTCGCTCTTCTATCAACAGTGGCGTCGGATGTAGGAGTTTGCCCTGAAATCGAAGGATTGACGGTTCAAGCCCTCTGACTTTCAGTGTCGTTGTGTCCTTGGGCAAGACACTTTACCTGCATTGTCTACTGATGGTGGTCGCCAGTGTACGGCAGCCCCGCTTCTGTCAGTGAGCCCCAGGGCAGCTGTGGCTACAATGTAGCTTGCCACCATCAGTGTGTGCATGAATGGGTGAATGACTGAGTGTAGTGTAAAGCGCTTTGGTCAAGTCTCCTGACTTGAAAAAGCGCTATATAAGTCAGAGGATTCCTGTCTGCGGAAGGGGCGGGGGCATATCTGCGTTAACAGCGACACACACAGACGATCTGGTTAGTGAGTATAAATCCGCCTTTAGTGTCCAGATGTTTGAATTGAATCAAACACTGAAACGCTCCAGCAAAAAATCCAGAAACCTTTTCATCTGTCCATCTGCTTCCATTCCCCAAAGAGCTGCGAACATCCGACCCAAAAACCCTTCAACACGCAGTGACATCATGGGAACTCCGGACTCACGTTGTCGTGACTCAGCATGACCCCCTTTGGCTGGCCCGTGGTCCCTGAGGTGTAGATGAGCGTGCAGCACTGATTGGGCTTCTGGCTGGAGATGATGGCATCCAGAGGTCCGTCCGGTTCTTTGCGACCGATCTCCATGAATTCTTCCCACTGGAAACGAGATAAACCGATCAGTTGGGCCTCCCTACATACCTCTGAGCAATCTGGATCAAACAGTCTGCTTACCGAGTACAGATTCTCTCTCTTCTCTTTCACTGCATCTTTGTATTGGATAATGGCTTTCAGGTGAGGCAGCCTGTCTTTAATCTGCAGACAATAACATGACTGAGTAAAACACTTACTCATTTAAAAAAGCTATTTTATATGACAAGTTCTGCTCATTCAAGAATTTAGTGGAACGATGCTAAATTTTTATATTCCATGTTTTCTTGTATAAGATGCATATGGAGTAATTTTATTACATTTGTGTGGGAAGCAAAGAACATCTTTTGTAAAAGGAAAATTGAAAGAAATGCAAACAAAAACCAAAAGTTTGAAAACCTATAATCAAAATATGTTTTTTCTTTTATTGTCAATATCTTCTTTCTTTCCATATTTCACCTTTTAAAAAATAAAAAATACAAGTTTTACTTTTTTTTTCAATTTTATTTTCTTCAAATTTTTCTTTTTCAGCTTGAAATTTGCCAATTGCCTTTTTTTCAAATTTAATTTTATAGATCCCATTCTCTTCCCTCCAAACCCAATATATTGGACATTTCATCACAGCACTGCGTGTCCCGAGCCCGTAATATCATCAAAGACCCCTCACACCCCCACCATGGACTGTTCTCCCTGCTGCCCTCTGGAAAGAGGTTCCGCAGCATCCGCTGCAGATCCACCAGGTTGTGAAACAGCTTCTTCCCCACTGCCATCAGACTGTTGAACCTTTGATCCACAATCCGAACTCTGCACCTATTGCACATTATCGGGCATCAAAATGCTGCTGAACTTTTAACTTTTAGCCCTTTAAATTGTTCATCTCATTGTATTTTTCAATAACGCATTTTTTGCACAAATGCCATTTTGCACTGAACCACTGCAACTTGCACACTGTCTCTTATCCTCTGCACTGTTCACACTTTGACCACTGCTGCACTTTTTGTATTTTTCTATAACTTGTGCCATTTGAAATATCAATGCAACGTTCATAAGCTGTATGTAACGCAATTTCGTTCTGTATGCACCCTGTGCATACAAAATGACAAATAAAGAAGTCTAAGTCTAATAAACGCTCCCTTTTCTATGAAGAAGCTTTTTAAAGCTTCATTTCTAGGTTGCATGTTGTCAATTTTCTTGCAATGTTCTTTGCTTGCAAAAATAAAAATAAACTCCGGATGCAGAAAACACGAAACATAAAACGTGTTGCATAGTGCCAATAACTTCCTGACTGAGATGTTCTTCCTGATGAAAATAGCTGTTTATGAGTAAAAAATCCACCAAAGTTTCTTTGTATTTATGGTAAAAATATATATTGTTAATTCAAAACCGGTCATACATTTCCCCAAACAACACATTTTATTTGCTTTATATATTTTTACTTAAATTAAGACATAAAATGCAAAACTACTTCATGTTGAAACTCTTGGTTTTGTTAGTGTAATAATGTTCAAAATAAAAGAGTAAACTAATGAATGACATTAAAGCTATAAACTGAAATAAAACAACAATAATGACAGCAGTGGAATGAGGAAACAGAAGATAAACAAAACAGAAATACTGATCAGAACTTGTTAAAGCTGTTTATTTGATCCTGTGTTGCAGGTTTTACGTTCCTGGAATTTAAAACCAATCAGACCAGTGGTTTATATGGTGATTCTTCTCTCACCTGAAGGATTTTCTGCAGCTGTTTGTGGTTCTCCACCACGATAATGTTAGCTTCGGAGTTTTCTGCTACGTATTGGCACGCCTCAGGGGAATTGGTGGTGTAGATCCCCACAGCAAACCCGCTGCAAGAGAGGAGGAGAAGGTTAAAGGTGATGATTTTCTTTAAAATGAGGACAGGGGGTAAAGAAATGGTTAAAATCAAAACATAGAATTGTTCACAGGCTTCTTTTTGTTAGCATGTTTTAAAAAATCTCCTAGTAAGATACAGGGAAGTTGTGTTTTTATGGTAAAGTCACAAAGTTTAAGTTTTTTATGCATGGAAAATAATCCAGGAGTTAGCAGAAAGCTGGGGAGCTACTTTATGGTGTGGATGGGGCTCATAGACATGAGCCAGGATTTAAAAAAAAAAGGCATCTGTAAACCTATGGAGAACCAAATGCATAAATTCTGGTGTGAAAGGGCCGACATTGCATGAAATGAAAATAAATAAACCAAGTCAGATTTCACTGTCTCCATTCCAAGGCGAGTGAAAATTAAGACCTTGTTAGTTGGCATCTACATAAAACCAGATAAAGGAACAACTAATCTTGTCTTCTAAGGTTTCTTAAACTGATGCTCCTACTGAGATACTGAAGTGCAACTGAGATTTGACTCGCTGCAGCTGGTTAGGTCACATTCTTTCTATGATTGGTCTGCAGTGACAGGAGGCGTGGGAGTGGAAGGCAAACCCACATACCACCACGGTACGTGCCATAAAGCCATACTTAAACTGCAAGACATGAGCGTTTATCTTTGCACACAGGAGAACAATGGGGAACCTGTCCTTTCTGAGGCTAGCTTCTCTTTTAATGCAGCCATGGTAAATAAACAAAAAAAAAAAAAACTAGAGGCAAGAAAAGTACATATTTCTACACAACAGGTTGAGGCTCTGTGAGCTGCAGCAGCTGCAGCTTTGACCAATTGGTCTGTTCAGTTTTTATTCTGCTGAAGGTCCTGCTTTAGGCTGCTCTTAGTTCTCAGCATCTCAGCATAGTTAAATGTGAGCAGAAGTGATTATCTGCAGTTCTGATCAAATCATCTGTGCTCTGTTTCCCTCCTGAGGAAGCAAATACAAAAAAGGGTCCTTAAAAGCAGAAACAATACATCACGTCCAATGTCAGATGTGAACTTTAGTAAACTTAGCAAATATTGCAAAAAAAAAAAAAGAAGCTTAATATGTCAACAGAAATGTTTTTTAGCTTGTTTATGTTAAATGTCTCAAGGCTAAGATGTGACCTGCTGGCCGAGGTCGAGCTGTGGCACATTCTATCTCACTAAGTCACGATAAGCAACGTCAATAAACTGATGCAGATTAGAGATAAAATATTTGTTTTGTTTTTAAAAAAATGGACACTGAACTAGAGAAATGGGAACTCACCCTGCCAAAATGGCTCCAATGTCGGCGATGAACCACTCTGCAGAGTTGAAGCCCAGAATTCCCACTCCGTGGAAGCGCTTCAAACCAAGCTGCAGAGAAACCACAAACAGAGCCATAAATAAAAAGAGCCCCCAGTTAAAACATCTTAACAATCTGGGGAATAATATCAGCGAGGAAAATTCATTAAACGTCCTGTTTTTAAATGTGCAATTCTTTTTTTTTTTGTTCAAACTAATTATCCACAAGTGTATGGAGTGAATTTTGTTCCATTATTGCTGCAGAAAAATAACATGTTTTATTAATTGAAATTTGGAAAACACTCAGACTGATAAAAATGTTTCTGCCAATGCAAAAGCTGCCCAACAGAAACGTTTTCGCTCCTAACTCCAGGGAGAAGCCCGTCCCCAGAAGTGAAGACAATGTCATTTGTAAAAACGAAAAAAAAAAAAAAATCCAAAAAGAGAACATTTTAAAATAGAAATTCTGCAAAAAAAAATTTGAACATAAATTTGAAAATTTAAAATGAAGTCTTAAAAACACATAATAGAAAAAAGAAAAAGAAATTTAAACAAAAACTAATTGGACAAAATAAATCTGAGAAAACAGTAAGGCTACCTTTTTAAGTTTTATATCTGGATTGCTTTTTTTTTTGTTCAAATGTCCTTTTTTTATATGGTTTTATTTGCTAGCAACAATAATGGAACCAAATTCCCTCCGTTAATGATCAAACCCGTTATATAGGGAAGTCCCCTTGCAATGTTTTTATTTCTGATACAATGCAGTATTGCACACATGAGAATTGGCCAAAACCAACATTGAGTCGATAAGATATTAGCAGGAAATGCACCGGCTTTTATTGTTTACTTTATACTGTAGAATGTAAGAAAACACTTAATAATAAGTAAGTAATATTACTAAAGCAGGGAACAAAAGTCAACAACAGATGCCTGTAAATTTAACAAATGACTTACAGGAACTCTTAGCAGAAGAGTTTTTCTATCAGAAAATATCGGAGATTTTAGTTGTCGGCCGATAAAATCCGATATTAGTTTTTGTCTAACATCGGACCCCATATCTGACATTAATACCGAATCGGACATCCTAGTGTTATGATAATCTTCATGAATAATACAAAAAAGAAAACAATATTATAATGAGAATTCAAAGTTATGCCTCAAAAGGAGAAGAAGGAAGTAAAAAGCTATGAACCCTGTTCATGTGCATCTCAATCATGGTTGTACCACATTCTATAAAAACATAATCATCTAAATCAATGTTTGTTTTCTTTAATAAGGGACGGCCACCAGATATTAAACCTGTATGTTAGGATTTAAATATTTGCTTCCTTTTCTTTTTTGTTTGCTTTTTTGTCTAGTGTTTCTCAATGTTTCAGATCACCAAACACATTTTATAATTTCAAGATAACCTGGTTAAATTCCGAAAGCTGTTAAATAAAGCTTTTATTTAATGAAGTAAAAGGGAGAACACCCTTTGGCTTATTTTATTGTAGACCTACAGCCTTACTTAAACAGAACCTGACTTTCAACACGAAGTAGGCTGGAAGGTCCCTGATCCTGTTCTTAATAACACAGAAACAGAAAAAGCAGAGCTCTTCATCTCTATCAGTCCCAGCACAGGTAGAGCTGGAACATGGATCAGCCTTCTGAGAATTGGCCGCCAATCAGCATAACCCAAACAACTCAATGACGACCAATCCAGGAGGAAGCAACCGCCCCAGAACAATCAGGACTGCTAGACTTTGACTAGGCCAATCCAAAACTTTCATTTCATGAATTCCTGTCCAGATGTTAAGGCTTAAACATGACTAAATAAAAACAAACGCTAATAACTTCTTCACCAAAAAAAAAAGGTTAAAACTAAATGACAAAATATGTTAAGGAAACAAATACTATACAGTGCATTTTACTTTTTTATACCGACAACACAAAAACAAAAGAAAGATTAAACATAAATGCACACGTCGGCTGGCTGACTGGATTCCTTATCAGCTAAATAACATTAAATAAGTCAAGCATTTCCTTTTTTTTAATAGTTGATAGACATTCTTGTAATTCCATACAGAAAAAGCACCATAGCTTTTTTTCACAGAAAGGTTTTTAAGGCCGTTTCAAGACTTAAAATCCTAAGATTGTTCTTTTTTTCTAAGGTATGAATTCCACTGAATTCACAGCAAATTCCTAGAATATTTGCAGACCGTCTCTAGCTTATATTAGATCAGCTGATCATCACAGCAGCACCATGTGATCTATGAAGAGTCTAGTCTGTTGAGTCTATATCAAGGTAGAGTTACACCTACGTACATGAGAGCTGTTTAAATTATTAGGCTCTTTCATTACGATGAGTAAAATATTAAGCAAAGAGCGACTGATGGTAGAATGGTAGCAGCGGAAGGTTAGAGGTGCGGAGGGTTTGTGGGCGGAGCTTGCACTAAATTCTGAGCATCCTGACAATCCTTTACCAGGATCTTGTAAAGGATGCAAGGTTTAGATTTTTTTGCCTCATCTGGTGTTTTTTTTCTAACTAACGCAGCGTTTGCTTTGCCTAATCCTGAAACATCTGGACTTGCCTAAACATACAGGACAATATATTTCCAACAAGGTCAAAAGTTTTGGTTTTACAGATGAATTAACGGATATCGAGTCAGGAGATCCATCCAAAGAAATTCCAACTAAAAGAAGAAGGCAAGTTCTGATCTGATCAGCATAAAAGAAGGAAACCAACCTTTAAGAAACCCTTTGCAGCGGTGCGACAAGCCTGGTAGTACTCTTTGTAGGTGAGGGTTTTCTGTTGCTCACCCTCCTTCCAACCCAAAGCCGTGAAATCACCAAAACGTTCCGCAGCTGCGGCAAACATCTGGTTGACAGTCAGAGGTTCCTCAGCAGCCACACCAGAGTCTCCGACCCTCAGTTTGACCTCTCCGTCACGATGTGTCGTCCAAAGACGGAGCTCTGCTGACGGCGGACTCTGGGCTGAATGATGAGAAGAGACACTTAGAGCTTGGATAACGAGCCGCTGTGATAAATTCTTTCTTCTAGACTTTGTCTGTTGAGCTGAGTCATTTTTAAGGGTCATGATTTCCAACAAAGAATATATTTACAGTTTCTATGTAGCTATTTGACACACCTTCCTTATTCAGTGATTTTTTTTGTTTTTTATTCCAACTCATCTAACTTCTTCAAAACTGTTTAAAAAGCTTTTGAGGTTTACCTCATTAATGCTTAATGAGGTAAATATTAACATAAAGACATTCCTCTCATTAATTCTCATTGAGAGAATTAGCAAGCAACAACCAAACCAGAGGGGGGTCTTAACAAAAAACTAAAGTATAAAAGATATTTTGTTATTTTTAGTTCTGCTCTCTGTATATATGATCTAGAAAGTAATAGAAATAAGGAAAAGCCATTGAAATGCTAAGGTGTGTCCCAACCTTTGTCTGGGGTGTTTAGTCCAAACTTCTTCATTTATACAGCACTTAAAGCAAACATGTTAGACTAAAGCACTGCACAGAAAGAAAGGGATAATTTCTAGGAGTGGTTAAAAAGGAGAAAGGAAAAACCCAAAGGAAACATCAATTAAATATGTAATAACTTCAGAATAAATAAATATGGGGAAAAGGTTATAAAGCTTATCTCAAGTCATGGCATGGCAGGCTGGTGCAGTCACGCAAAAATACACAACACTTTATGTTGGGATAAGTACATGAAACATTTAGAGCTCTGAATTAAATTTTCATGCAGATTTATAAGTTAAACGTTTGCATACAAGTGCAAACTTTAACCTGGAAATGAATTAAAAAAAAATAAAAAAAAATCGACTCAGGTTAAGCAGCACTGCATAATTTTTTACCCCGATTTTTGCTTCATTTGCGATTTATTCAACGATTTTTTTGGGGGGTCTATATTCAGCTCTTGGTGCCTATCCATGCACTTTTCAAAAACCGTCCAATGTAACCAGGGAGGCTCGGATCTATCATTGACCAAGAGCGTCACCTGACAACAGTCTGAGCTCACTAGAGAATAAATATGACTGATCAGATATATTTTAGTTTTTCTGATGCAGGATTTAATGTAGAGACTGAATGTGGCCTGCCCTGCGATAGACCGACGACCTGTTCAGGGTGTACCCCGCCTCTCGCCCGTAGGCAGCTGGAGATAGGCACCAGCACCCCTCGTGACCCCGCTTGGGTAACGGAAAATAGATGGATGGAATGAATGTAGCCTTGAATTCACAGTAACTCCATGACTTCTCAATCTGCTGCTACAAATAGGTCTGCTATCAAAACCCAGAGGTCGTCTGGTTCCTTTAGACTGTGCAGTGCCGTCAGTGGCTACCAGGGGCGCTAAACCTGGAAGTTACGTCTAGTCTAGCTCCCCTAGTGGCTAAAAGTTACAGTGATGCTTTAAGCTTCTCACAGTAGTTTGCTGTGGTTTTGGCCCATTCTTCCAGACAGATATGTTGTAGCTGAGTCAGGTTTGTTCACATCTGAGTGTTCGTAAACTTTGACTTTAATAGAAATATTTTTTAACATAGTTAAAAAAATATCTCTCTTATTATCCTGTTTTGTAGCTAATATGCTGGTGAAGATTCTCAGTCAGTCTTTGGATAGTTATAAAAAAAAAAAAAAGAAGTTCCAAGTTTGAAGACGTTTTGTTTCCCATCCAGGAAGATTTTTCAATTCAAAGTGTCAGGAATAGCGTTGAGTTCGAGGTTTTCTACAGTAGCCCATTAAAACATTTTAGCTAATAGATCAAATTTTTAAAATCCCAACTGGACTAAAATAAGAGAAGTTTTATCCGATCTAAGGTCGGACACAGACAAAAACAGGATGTGTGTCAATTTATACTGCAGGTCTTAAGATCTTGTTTTAAATTGTACAAATATGTCACAAAAATCTCAGCTGATCCCTGGTTTAAGCCAGACATTCTTCGTAATTAGAAAAAAATATAGTTAAGTGAGAAACCCAGGTGTACGACATATTAGATTAAAACTACACAATAGGCTAACATATTCTTCTGGGTTTGATAGAGCCCAAAGGATTCTGATAATTAAACCAGGAGAAGACGTCTCTTGGTCCTTTGGGAGTTTGCAGTGTGAAAGAACAGATGTGTTTTTGGCCTAACGAGCAGCAGGATGTTTGTGTATAAAGTGGAGTCACATGCTGGATTTATTGCTGGTGAAACAGCTGCTTATCAGTTCCTCCAACAGACAGGATGGGGAATAACTTTCTCACTGAACAAAAAAATACAATAGGATTTCTATTATGTAAATATGGGCTGGGTGTATTAAAATAATTTCCACTGAGTCAGTCTATCTAAATATTGGATAACAAATGTTTTAACAAATATTTGCCGGGATTTTCGCAATGAAATATAGATTTTCTTGTTATCTTTATAGCTAACATGAAAGAGAAGACTCTTCCTTTACTGACTAACAGGGCAGAGCGCCGCTCATGAGTTTCAGGAAAAGGGAAGTGGGTTTTTTTTTTTTTTTCCAAAGAATGTGGGTTCTGCTTCCTCGGGAAAAGACTTTCAGCCAAAAAAATGCTGACTTCAGCAACAAGAACAGACAGAATAACTTCATCCGAGATTAAAATAAATCCTTAAAGTGTTTTTTAATCCTCTTTTACATGTTAAATCCAGCTGCTCAGACAATATAAACACATGGCAAGTCAGCTTCAGGCCTCACCCAGTTGAGCCTCTGAGCTCTGCAGCGCTGCTGAAGACTTAGTGCTGCTGGTGGCTGCATCTGGAGCTGCCATCTCCTCCTTCTCCCCCGTGGACTCTTCCTCTGAAGACTCACTGAGGAAAAAGGAAGAGAGGTCAGAGTTAGAGTCTCTGCAAAGGAACTAGAGGAAAACTGGAGGAGAGACGTAACAGTGTTGAGTCATTAGAGGGAAGAAACAGTTAACAGCATGTTAGGAGCTGCTTATAGACGGGTCACAATAACAAGAACAGAAACACAGTTATTTTGGACTCCTAAGTATTTAACAGGTTATCTAAATTTAGTCATAGATACCAGATGTTGCAGATGAAGTTCAGAGTGACCCAAAGGTTGGTGTCACTTTTTGAGCCAATCAAAAAATATCTTTCAGACAGGATGGTGATTTCCCTTTCTACGTTTCAAAACTAATGAACTATCTGGAATGACGACTAAAGAGTGAACTGACAAGCATCTAGGGCACTGATACTGTAGATATCACCAAAGAACAGACAAATAAATCAGGTCTAGGAGTAGGCTAGTATCTAAAATAAAAGATTATTTTAGACAACACGAAATAAAAATCAGATGTATTTAGAGGTAGACCATAAGATTGTTTGTTGAACAATTTATTATTTATATTTTCAAAAACATAAATGTTGCTTTCTCTGCCTTTAAAGCAGGCTGTATTATGTTGGGATCAAAAGGATTACATGAGGAGCAGTAAATAGGAGTATCATCAGGGAAGAAGTGAAATCCAGCATACAGTCCTGGGCAGAGAGACACGTCTGAAAAACGTATCCGTATATAAGCTTTTTATTATCAGCTGAGATCGATTATTAATTACATGTGTTTTATTTGCCTATTTGACATAAAGACCAATGAAAAAAGCCCCCAAACATATACTTAAAAGTCGTAGGGAAGCGGCTGATCCAACAGTTGCATTTCTGAATTCTCCCGAGTGGTGCCCGACTTGATAAAGTGAATGTGATTGGTCAATTATCAAGGGGGCGGGATTGTTGTGGCAAGTAAGTTTGGTTGTGGCCGGTTTGTCAGAAGCATCTTGCTAACCAGTTAGCAACTTAGTGCTAGTAGGTTCCCACAGACGTCCAACCCCGTGAACACTGGGACAGAACTCAATGGTAAAGTAAATGATTCTTATTTCAACCGTTACGTATATTAGCAGCAACATATGAATCAAGATGCTATGACCGGAAAAAATTTGATTGACAGATGACCGTTGATATATGATTGGCTGAATTTAGGTGTACAAGCTGACATATAACTAACTGGCCCGCATAAAATAACGAAATAAAAAACAGATTTTAAGGCAGGATTTTTTTTTGATCTAACTTTTGGAACAATATGGACTTATAAAGAGTACATTTTTAAGCCAGAATGATTTGACATTTAAATATGACTTCCCTACGACTTTAACCTTTAAAAACAGGTCGGCCTGACTACCAACCTTGCTTAGTTTTGGTTGAGAGGCTCTATCCTTTCCTCTGCCTACATCTCCCAGAATGCCATGTGTTTCTGAACCAGAGTTCGGTGGAATTAGTAAAAATCTATCAATATATTTTATATTGATATTAATCAGGGGTCTATTGCTATATATATATATATATTGAGAGTGATTTATTGCCCAGCCTTTTTTATCCTTGGTTTTATAAATATGTGAAGATGAATAACAAATGGGCCAAGTAGTGCACCTTGCGGAACGTTTCTGTCTGAGGTAGACAGATCAATCTGAATTACTTGTGTGTCACAAGATAGCTTGCAAAGCTTCCATTGGCTGCTGTCATTTTCAAAGGTGCAACTCCAGCAGCCAATGAATGGCCTATTTGCCAACACAGAGAGGGTGGTTTCTAATGCAACACATGGCACAACTGACTAAAGGTTAAATTTCATTTTCTGAGGGTAACAGTTGTAATACGTTAAGATTTAACCTACTTTGCTGTGTCCAAAATGCCATCATCAAGGGAAGCTGAACTTTCTCCTGCTCCACACGACCCCAGAAAGCCTCCTTCTCGAGGAAGCTCCATCACCACAGCTTCAGACATGGCACTGGGTTCGCACGCAGTCACTGTAACACAAATATTATTGGGGTTTTTTTTACTCCACATTAGGTCGAAATAATACACACATTTTTATGTTTAAATGGCTTCTAGAAGCAAATAGAGAAAACCACACATTGTCCGTGGTCATTAATGAAACAATCCTAATGTTAGGATTACTTTCTATTATTCATGTATGAGTTTGTTAAACCATTTTCCGTTTGTTAACTTTGTATATATTTAAGTTTTATGTATAAGCTCCATATTTTTGATTAGAAAACAGAATTACAATTAGATTTTATGCTTTCAGTCCAGCATAGTAATAAAAAAAATCCCTCAGATGAATCCAAAAGACAAAATTTTCTATAGGTTTCATGCCAACAATGATTTTTAATGTAAACTTCCTACTAGGGCTGTCTGATTTTGCACCAAAATATATTAATTGTCCTTTGCACCAACCACAAGCATCTACGTTTCTGACATGTTGCGTGGAAACCTGCTTACTTCTAGTTGTTTTGCATGGATTTGCAGGCTACCTGTAACTACCTTTCCTAAGTTAGTGTCTTACTCTCGTTAAAAAGAACCTAACCAGAAATATTGAGCTTTAAATCTGCCATATTTCAAATGCAATTCATAGTTTAGCCCTACTTCTAAAACCAACCACAGCTTTAACATGCGGATCATATGGAGAAGAACCTGTAAAGTGGAAGAACACAGCTCCAGATGTATCTAACAGCTATCCTTTACTCTCTAATCAGAGGTTAAAGTTTTAACATAGTTTAAAAACTGAACACAGAAGTTAAAGAAGAGTCTCAGGTACTTTTAGTTTTGTTTTACATCATGACCGGACGGACATCCCCCTCCAGTTCCCCTATCACATCTTTGACCTGTTTACTTTAACACATACCAGCAGCTTCCTCTGCTTGTTGTGGCAGGAGCCTATCATGGCTCGCCTGTCAGGAACAATTAGGCTTGGCTAATCGGACAGAAAAAAGGCTCCAGAGAGGTCAGAGAGAGCAGGGGCAAACATATTTTGAAGCGAGCTTTAGAGGTTGACACAAATTTGTTCAAACTAAACCTCCAGTAACCAACCACAACAGGTTGAACTCATTTTTAACACTAAAATGCATCCAAATCGGTGGCGAACGTAACGTCGCAGGGTGGCTGACGCCCTTAGTGGGGCGGCCACATAGCACAGAGGAGGCTCAGGGTTGAGGAGGTTTGTTCAGTCAGGGTGCTGAGACATGAGGGGGGTGGGGGGCTACTGAGACCTCAACCCCTCCTCATGCCTTTAGTTTCTGGCTTTGTTTTGGTTTTGGGCGGGACAGGGATCTCATCAGGCATGGGTCGGTATGACATTATAACAGAACAACAGCCTTGAGTAGGAAAATCCTTGATGTTAGTGGTATCAATGTTTGAGACAAGATTTGAACAAAAAACATCAACTATGATCTGTTTCTTTACTGATTTAAAGTTAGGTAACAGATTAGAGGGTTTTTTGGTAATGTAACACAATAGCAGTTATAATTATGCTGTCTACAACCTATATTAGATTAATTTCTTTTCAATGAACTTAAGAAATTTGCTCTAACATTGGTATCAGCTAATGTTGGTCATTTTGAAAGCGCTAACCTTCGGTCTGTCTGGATAAACGTAAAAAGCCTGTGTCTAGATCTGATGGGAATGATTTAATACTTCTACATCTTTCTCTGATGTTTGGGGGCAAATACTGATTTAAATATATGACTCAGAATTGGCCTTAAATGTACAATGCCTTTCTAAAGCTTAAACACCTGTGGTGATCTTTGAATTGTAATAAAAAAAGAAAGAAAGAAATTAATAAATGAAAACTGTTTTTCTAGGTAGAGCAGGAAATGTTTTCCTGAAGGTCAGAAAGCCTTTCTTGGCCACATCTCTTAACCTTTAACATGAGACTTCTCAGAAACACTTTTTAAACATTCAGTCTTTTTGTGACAACGCCTGCAGTCGATATATGAAACCTGATGAACCTGAAATGTAGTTCAGCTAATTTGCCTTCTTGAACTAAATCCACAAGTTACAGGCATTTTAGTAATTTGACTGCAAGCTGGTTCTAAAAACAATTTTTAGACTAAAAAACACTAACAGTTACTACAAATTGGCTGAAAAAAAGAGATTGAAATTGGTCAAGGAAGAGGGCGGCACCACTAGCTGGACTGCAGGAATTCCCAACCTGCTCCTCTCTACATCCACACCTGACCAAACGCCCCAAATTTAAAAAAAAACGACATTTCTTAGCATCACCTTAAGTCGAAAAATACATCCAAATAGATAAAAGGGCGATTCAGGGAAAGGGAAACATTTTGAAAAGGGCTAAACGAACTGCAGAGGAAAATCTTTAGATGTTATATGAGAGATATGGAAAACGTATGAGATGCCAAGCTAGTTAATGTCTCAAAATTAAGGTTTAGGGTGCTGACTGACTTCTACTGAAGAAGACGTAATACTGATATTTTGTTTCATTAGGATCCAAACAGGTAGTTGCATCTTTATTTTGCTATAGTTCTAATAAATATGTTTTTTAACTTCATCTTTAGTGGATCTGTGCCATTTCTGTGTAAGACAACTAAATATTTACAACCTATTTGCTTTCTTTTGCACTTCTTTCTCTCTTAAAACACCATTTCTAATCATCAGCCACCATCATATGAACTTGTCATTCAACATCTTTCTACCTTCTTAAGATTCCACTCATCACTAAGTATTTAAACACCCACAGCTACTCTTGGCAGAAAAAAAAACACCTTTAAGCATCAAGAAAAGCTCACCGAGGAGACAATGACTGAAGCTGTAAGGCAATCTTAAATGTCATGCTTTCTGGTGGAAAAGATGGATTTCCCCAGTATTCAAGTATTTAAATCAATCTTATCATGTCTGAAACCTTTAATTTTTGCACATATTCAACTAATGCAATGAATAAACTGTAAACGGTACTTTTTATGTCTTTTTTGTGCAGGACGATGAGCATGATTTGGTTTTAATATCCCAAGCACGTAAAAATGTGGCTTGTTGAGGCTGGAAAATTCACTGCTAAGAATGAATCACTCAGGCCTGCACATGCTGACACGGCTGCAGAAACACTGCAGTCATGCAGATGGGAGAGAGGATTATGACGATGGAGTACAGTCGAGCTTTGCAACAGCTGCTCTGTTCAGGAAGGGAGAAAGCAGCAACAGTTGAGCGGGTAAACACACGTCTTATTCAGGGTGTCCTGTTAACAGAAGGAGATGAAATAAAATCCTAACAGAAACAGCCTTTGGCATGAACCACATGAGGGAATCTCACTAAACAGTATAATTTGATCAATGAATATCTGTTTCTTTTGGGTTGATCTGCAAACAAAGAAAAAAAATCCCCTCTGGACGTTTTTTTCTGTTTCCTTAAACAGGCTGAGGAATTTTAAGCTTTCAAAGCATAGGGCGATCTGAAGCCACTGCTGCTGACAGGGAGATCTGGGCGTGATCGTCTGCATCCTCATTTTTTGGAGATCAAGTTCCTGCCCTTAGTAAGATGGGGACCTCATTAAAAAAATGAGCTGCAGCTTTTAAAAGACAAGAGTGAGATGGGAAATTTATACAGATCTGCAGGCTGGGTTACACCCATTCAGCATAGAGATGGAGCCAAGCTGTCCAAATACTCAGGTCCAGATCTAAGTTGAGCAAAACAGCCACAACCAAAGGAGAAATATAACACTTCTTTAAATATTATATACCTTTAGGAAAAATAAACCAGGGATAAAATCTTTAGACAATGGTTTTCCTCCTTCTTCAGACATTTAAAGGTGAAATCCACAACAACCTGGTCGGTTTTCTCAATGATCATTACCCAAAAATTAAAGCCCAGAGATCAAAATCAACATTTTGTTTTAAATTCAGCTACTCACGTTGCATTGTCAGATGATTATCTTCCCGGTTCCTATCCAACAGGTTTTCTCTAGGAATGTATTTTCCCTTTCTTCTAATGAAGCAGATGGATCACTAATCCTACAACCGACCAGGATGTCTACAGCAGCAGCATATCATTTATTTTCAAACAGGAGTAGCAGCCGGCCGGCTCTGCAGGTCCCTCCTCCATCCCATACCCCACCCAAGACAGGCTCACCAGCTTCTTCCAGGCAATCTCCCCACCCATTTCATCTTTACTCAGCCCCATTGGCTGAAAATGCTCACACCATGCACCACATAAGGTCATGCAAACCAAAAAAAAAAAGGGAGGGGGAAGTTGCAGGGAGGAAGCAGACACACATCTCCCTCTTTAGAGATGATGCTGAAACTGAGACCCATCCCCCACCAGAGAGAAACACGCCTTTTGCACACAGCAACATTCACAGGAGGGTTACTATCGGACAAGCATTTTGATGTCTGCTATATATATGCAGCATTTTCTTAAAACTGCTGAGAACAAACCTGATAAGCTAAATCTGAGCCAATTTCTATCTAACATCACCTAATTTGTTTTTCCCTATTTTAAAGGAAAACATTGAAAGTTTTATTTAACCTAGTACGTTCACACTGCAGCCTGAAGTGAACCAAATCAGATTTTTTGCCCATACACAACCTGGATCTGATCTTTCCATGGCAGTCTGAACAACACAGATCCCATTTTTTCCAATCCGACCCAGGCTACTTGGCTCTGTGGTCCTGAATCCGATACGAATCTGATCTTTTCAAATGCAACCTGTGTCTGAACGGCCACGTCAGATTCATCCGACCTGAACGCTATTAATACCCAACAAAGGTCACTATTCTGGGTCTTGCTATGAAGAAGCGACAAGAAAAGCAACAACCATGGCAGATGACGATGCCGAGAGAAGTATTTATGTTTAACCATCTTGAAAAGATTGTGTTTTTCTAGTTGGGAAAGATCGCTAGATGCGCTCCAGCACTCCATCCATGTTTACTTCCGTAAACATAGAGCACTCTGGCCTGGGACATCATTGCGTCCTCTACTCCACATGCTGGACACTTGGGTTGTATGACTGCAGTTCCCACAGTAGATCACAAACAAGTCGCATATATTTGGAAATTTGAACGGAAACGCAAAAAATTTCACTAAAAAATCTTAATTGAGCATCAAGGCCTGCAGTGTGAATGTAGCCAAAGTGACCTGGTTTGTCTCTAAAGGCTCCCTTAGATTAGGTTAAGATATACAAAGATTTCATTTCACCTGATAAATATGCTGATGACATTCAATTATTTAACTCATTGCATGAGTAGTTTGCTACGGTCACTGAGTCAGTGTGTCTAAAATAGTCTTCACCAGTTAATCCAAAAAGCAGCTAACAGAGCTTTGACCAACTGTAATGCACATTGTTCCTTAAATGACTGCATTGGTTCCTTGTTTGTTTAATTACTTATTTTAAAAATGTACTAAAGGTCTAAATGTGGCCCGTAACAGGAAGCGAGCTCAGCTGAATGGGATTACTCCAAGCCTAACCAGTTTAAACAATCCACAACAACAGCAATCTGGATCAGCAGTACTATGAACATGGTTATCAACTCAATCCAGTTTGATTCACAATCAACTGATTGTGAATCTGTGAATAACTCTGAAACATATAGAGGCAGGTTCAAGGTAGCAGACCAGTCACAATCATGAGCTCAGAAGGGAGAACGTCGTACTTATCAGGTGAGGAACTACAACTCGTCTTACAGAAATACAAAGAGAAAAGAAAAAGTGTCAATGAAAAGTCAAACATTGTGCAAAGGATTCCTGACTGCGTTGATGAGCAAGTTATACATCAGTGTCATTTAACACAGACTGCATCCCGATAACTGTACTGCATGGTAACTGTTTGGCCCTCGGAAATGAAGAGGACTTGTGAGCAGATAAAATTAGAAAACAAATACATAATTTCATCTTGTCGTCATGATCTTGGTGCTGGTGCCTGGTCTGGTTACTCATTCCACTCACCTGCCTATCGCCGCCCAGTTCTCATTACCGTTCATCTGATCCACCTGCTTCAGCTTCTATTTACCCAGCCTTCAACCATTCATAAGTGCCTGATTAATGGAGCCTTTGGTGAGATTTCTCTAGCGTTCCTGTGTGTTCTGATTGCCTGATCCTGACCTGTTCTGCCTCTGGACCTCTGAGCCTGCCTATCTGATCTATTTGTCTGACCTGTCTTCTGACTCTTGCCAGATTTCTGCCAGTGTACCGAACCCGGAACTGTCCCCCGACTCCGTTCTGGATTTCCCTTTGGCACCTCTTCGGCCCTCTGATCTCCTGGCTCTGACTTCAGAGCACGTCATCAACATGGCCTCGCCTTCAGGAATATCCTGCCTTCCTTCGTCTGCTTGTGCCTGTCCTCCAACCTCCAAGACATCAGCTTCTGGGTCAATAACCTGTGTTCTCCTCCTGCAGAGGTTCCTGCCTTAGATCCTGATGCTGTTCTCTGCAGTTCAGTCTTAAATAAACTTTTGTTAAATCTAACTGTATTTCTGCCTCAAATACTGGGTCCTTTAGTTCTGATCAATCCTGAAAGCTAAACTGCCCCAGAGAAGGTTTTGATGTTCAGAGTAGGTTACCATGGTGACTAGCCTCGCTAACAATTAATCCTGCTTCCTGGTACTAGAAAGTCAGGGTTAAACCTGAAGTTGTCTCTCTAACCCAGTAATCCTGCTTCATGGTACAGGCCTCAGGAATTAATCGCCTTGGTCTACAAATATTTCAAATTTGCATATCACATTTATAAACCTTGCAGGCCCCTCGGGTCTTTCTAGAACCAGAACTAAAGAAGGGGACTCTGTTTAGCTTCTATGCTCCTCGTCTCAGGAATCAGTTTATTAAAAACGTTGGGTCCCTTCAATCAACACTGGAAACATTATACTGCAGCATTTCCCCAAAAAAAACATCCTATAGATGTATTAGTAATGCTTCTTTTAACAATTCCTCTTCTCTCGTTGGTGTCTTATCTGTAGCAGTCTATTGGGAAAAGACAGGGAACACCCTGGACAGGTCGCCCGTCCATAACAGAGACACTCAACCATGCACACACTCACACGGGGCACCTTTTAGAGTCACCAACCTACCTTATTTGGACTGTGGGAGGAAGCTAAGCTATGTGGAGGGAACCCACACATGGACAAGGAGAACATGCTAACTCCATGAAGTAAGACCCAGGAGGTTCTTGCTGCGAGGAATCAGTGCAAAAACTGACTCCAAAGTTCAGCCTTTCTGCTTTAATCATTATTATTTTACATTTTCATGTATTCCAGGATCTGATTTTATTTTTGTTTTTCTTATTTTCCGTTAAAGCACGTAAATCATCTCATGTATGAACGATGCTCTACAAATAAATCTGGTTTGAATTGCAAATCCACTCATATCCTTTGTGACCATAAAAAACACTCATTCATTTTCATTTCTCTAACAACGTCGCTCAGATTTTAAATAAACCCATTTAATGCCTGACTTCATGACTTTAAGATCAGTTCTGTTCAGAAATAAACATCCACTGACCCCGTACTGCTAAGTGCAATGACCCAGAAAAGTGCCTTAACATGAACTTGTTTTCTGACCTGATTCTGGGCATCTGGAACAAAATCATGACTCTTACTGAAACTACGCAGCTTGACGAGCCAATCCTGCTCTACTTGTTTTGTTCTTTGTTAGTCAAGTCCTAATTGACAGAAAGAAAAAAACTAAACAAAGACCTTATCTTCACTTCTATATCCTAAATGTGATAAAACTCCCTTAATGTCTACAATTTCCCATTAGGGGCAAAGATGTAAAGATTTCCTCTAACCTCCTACTAGAAGCTTTTACATTCTAAAGCTGAGGAAGCAGAGTGCGTTCTTTTCAAAACATTAAAAAAAACATTTTGTCCTTATATAAAAATGCTGGAACATATTTGTCTTAATTTGAAAGAACTGATCTCAATCTTAGTTTCGACATGCTCACATGACCTCACTAATCTGTGTCCTCACTGCTCTGTTGAAAATTTCAGCCAATCACCAAGCGAATCATCACAACAGAGCCACCTCACCACAGCGTCATGCGACACCCAGAAGCCGGCTGATCCACGTGTGCCGCCCTGACATGCTGCAGGAGGAGCTGAGCACCAGTGCTTCCTACAGAGCGCCTCCCATCCTCATTTCTCTCAATCCACTTAATGACAGGACACATCTTGACAGCAAAGCAACCAAACCCCCGGCCGGCTGACTCATCAATAAATCATTTAGACTGTATTTTTAGATCTTTTTTAATTAGTATACATCTTTAGTTTTTGCTTTTATTTTGTTTAATGTATAAAAATGAACCTAGTTTTAGAAAAAGGTATCCTTTCACATAAAAGTACATTTTTTTTAGAGCACTAGTGTTACTTGTTGCTCCTTTAACATGCTTTGAAGCTTCATTCTCACAGATCTGGCACCGAGTATAAAGGAAGTATGGTGTATTTTTACCACAGCTTTATTCTATTTTTAAAAAATTGATTCAACAATAATAACAGTTTAGGTTTTCAGTAGGCCTTATTTAAGCATAAATACAGACAAGCAAAAGAAGGAACAGTATTTCACATTGGTGATAGTTTGCAATGAGAACCCAGCAGCTCAGTCTTACTGCAGCAGAGCCAAAACAATCCAAGCAAACTCACTGCTTTCCAAGAGTGCTTGATATTTCATGAGGGATGCACCGATAACAATGTTTGGGCCAATAATAATATTGCTGTTAATAACCAATATTTACAAAAATTATTTAAATGTCAAATCATTCTGCCTTAAACATGTAAATAAATGTAATCTTTATCAGACATTGTCCAAAAAGTTAGAAAATTTCTATTTTTTTAAAAATACAGTTTTTTTTTTCCCGTTATCTTATGCAGGACAGTAAGTTATACCTCAGCTTGCACACCTGAATTCGGCCAATCATAAATCAACGGTCATCTGTCAATCAGATTTTTTCGGTCATAGCATCTTGATTCATATGTCGCAGCTAATATACGCAACGGTTGTATTAAAAAATATGAATCATTTCCTTTACGGAGATGGACGTCTGTGTCTTCAGCAGGCGTAGAGCTAACAGAACTGGCAGCGTTGCGAGGCAAGGGCTCAAACATGTACGGCTGTAAGCCTTCTACACCAAACCAAGCTTCTGCCGCCCTTGCGTCCTCTTCCACAACATCTTCGTCCTCGCTTTCCTCCTCTCCAAAATGGAGAGTAAAGTTTTCTGCTGTTACACATTCACACACAGAGTCTGTGAATTTACTCTTTGGGTGTCAAATCCACTATAGGAGTTCAGAGTTGATAGACAAAGAGTTATTTTTTCCATTTTAACACCTCCTGATTTATTATGTAACACTACTTTTTAACACTCAATTTTAACTACTAACATGTGACACCTCAGAGTTATTTTGTATAATATAACTCTATTAAGAGCTAAATTGACTCCATATTTTAACAAAGTCTACTATAACCATATTATTTAGCACTTTTTAATTTTCTGTGAATGCGCTAATGAGTCGGGAAATGCATGCACTTCCATTTACTGTCTGTCCCGACTTCGACAAAATACATTTTCAAGTTGCAGTATTATAATAGATTAACGAATATAATTTACATATCCTCTTCCTCCTCAATAATTGTATTTCTAATTTTAGGAGTTTTTTTTTTTTCAAATTGGATTTTTAAGACTATGATTTGAATTTTAAATTTGAAGTGACCTTTTTTCTTTTTTAGTGACTCTCTGGGTCCTCCATGACTGTTAATAAGTGGCTCTAAATGTCCCTCAGGGGTGGGTGTGTGCCTAGTTGTGTGTCTCGGTGATGGACTTGCGACCTGTCCAGAATGTTTCCTTCCTTTAACCTAAAGACTGCAGGAGATAAAGCCCCAAACCCCACAGACACCCTGAAGGACAATCAATAGAATCAGAAAAAAAGTAGAATTTGTACAACATTCCTTAATAAAAGTGTATCTGTTTCTTTCAGTGAATGTGTTAAATGAAATTACTTCTAAGAGATGGGCTGCATATAGTGAGGAAGATTATCAGTCAGTAGAAAGAACCATTTTATATTGAACCAACAATTCTGGATCCTGCAGAAAACCCATTTAGCTCATCTGAGCTGCAGTCTTTTACTAAAAAATGTACATTAATGCGAAACATTTTTATGTTTTTATCATACAAAAACACCAGTTTTTACTATTATTTATGCTTTTTTTTCGGTGGATTTAAAATAATTTCCTTCACTATGTTTAAAGAAATAATAAATTCACAAACTGCATTTTGTAGCTGAGCCTTACAGTAGCAGTAAGTGAAGCATAGATTGGAGGGATTCTACCTGAGGAAGAAACACCTGAGTTCAGAAAGGTTGGATATCTAATAAATGCTTTTAAAATGATTAGAAAACAAACCGAAATTATTTTATAAATCTGGTGAAGTAAAAACATGTACAGCAGAGAGTAATTAGCAGCCTTTAAACCTCTTATCTGCTGCTGTAAGTATCTACGGCCTCTATCCAGCTAACTTTACACGATATTATCTAAACTTGTCTTACAGGTTGATGTGAGGACGATGAAAACAATGGAAGGTGAGTTAATCACCACTTACCGTCAGAAGAAGCTCCTGAAACACGTCTGTCTCTGAGTTTGACAGCCAAGCAACTGAAAGGATTCCTGCTGCTTAGAGCAGGAGCCACAGCTCCAGAGCAACACTCCCACTTTACCTCACACAGGGAACTGATCTCCAATATAAATAAATACATTGTTAATAATAAATAACAATTTGTTAATAGGAAAGTATTTTTATTTCATTTTAAAGGTACATTTCATCTTCAAGGTGGTGTCAGATTTATTACATAGTTATGTGCTCTATGTGTCCTAAACTGTAGGAATTCCAGGATGCATTCTTTGTAAAGGTTTTAAAAGTTAAGATAACACAGGATCAACTTTGACTTTTAACATAACTGTTCAGTTTGTTCTGTAAATATAATATATATATATATATATATATATATATATATATATATATATATATATATATATATATATATATATATATATATATATATATATATATATATATATATATATATATATATATATATATATATATATATATATATATATATATATATATTATATTTACAGTAATGTACTCCAATACGACATGTTTACCAGGTCATTATAAAGCGTTTGTAGGATTATTGTACAGGGATTAGAATAATCTGTGTAGTTTTTTCGCAGAATAGGGATGTGCTGCCATCGTGTGGTCAAAAGGATGTAATTACACGAGGAAAGTCTGGGCCTATAGAATTTACAGTCTAACGATAAGATAAGGTGACGTGTTTTCATGATGACATTAATGAAACAGGTAGTTATAAGCATTAAATGTGTGTATCATGAGACACTTTCTGATTATCAAAGTTGTTTTGAGTCTTTCAGAAGACAATGTAAAAATATATTTGCGTATTTATTTAATCATTTCATAATGATGATGATGATGATTAAGGCTTATGGTCAGATGCACAAGGTGTTGATTTAAATGCAAGTTATTTAAACATAAAAAATTGCAGACAATGTTTTTGAAGGTTTTCCTGATTTGAGCTTTAAATAAAGAAACAAATATATAATGTATTTTAGAGATATAGATGTAAATCCAAAATGATCCTTCCTCTTAAAGAGAAAAATATAACATTTTCAAGTCAATTTTTTTTTATTTGTAGTGTAATTAAGTGAGAAACCTTGAGGATGTCTTTTGGGGGAAAAAAAGTTTTGCATCCATTGTTAGTGTGTCTTTACTGATATGGGTATTTTATTTGCAAAAAAAAAAGCTGGTGCAAACATTGTAAATCAACCATGCATTTCATTTTAAACAGGCCATGAAGTTGTCATGATCTGCCCTGATTGCTGACCTTAATTGTTAATTTTACTTACCGTCCCAACTCTGCCCGGTCTCTAATTACCACTCATCATATACACCTGCGCGTGGTGCTTTATAAACGGCTCAACCCAGCTATACGGGCCAGATCATTGGATGTTGTTTGTTCTGTTTTTGTTAGTTTGAGTTAGTCTAAGGTTCGTGTTAAAAATAATTTTGTAAACTACTGGAAAATTTCCCCTACATTTATTTTTCAGCACTAGTTTAGCTATTCTCTAGCAGAAACAGACATTCAAAGAATACATGCATCAGAAAAAAACATGGTCTATTAAAAACTACAGTACAAGTAACCCAAACCATTATACTGTGCAGATATCATGAGTAATGTCAGCATAGCTACACAAATAAATACAATTATTTAGAACAAGTCTAGATCTTTTAACATTTGTACATAACTTGTAGTATAATGTTGTCAGTGCATTGGTAATATGGTTGAAATGCATTTTAAAACCAATAATGGTTTCTGCACCAGGGAAACATTCTATTTTTCTCATCCCTGGCCAGCATAAAACATATTTCCTGATAAAGTTTAACATGTAACATATTGAAATATTTACTGATGTGTATTTCAAGGACTCAGAAAAGAATAATGAACGATAATAATACATTTTATGAAGATGTCTCTGATTATCTGTGAAATATTTTAATCCAAACAGGTGATTTTCAATGAATTATGGTACTTTAATGTTAATTAATTGCAGTAAATGTATTCAAAAAGTAAAACGTGTATGTAAAAAACAGTGTGACACAAAAATTCTCGTTTTGTTTTTATGACTATGGCTGTAAAATAATTAAAAACAAAAAATTCAGCTTTTTGTAATGTTTTTATGTTCATTAAGGCTAAAAAGGGTCTTCAGCATGTGCCATTTTGTATGATACTATTCTAATATACTTAGATACTCATGTTACACCATTTATTGACCGTAATTAAATATATTTAACCTAATAAGAAATCTTCCGGCACATAATATTTCCTGTGACAACAGCGCCTCCTAGCGGACTAGTTTAAACTAACAGCCATGTTTAACCGGGCGGATCGCCTACTCATAGGCCCCTCCTTCGCAGAATGGGTATCTGACGTAGGCGTTCGAGGGTAGCAACAGTTGCCTTGAGACCCCGCCGCGCTATAGTGACTGTAGCCGTGGAGACAGTTACTTACCAACGGGCGCAACACTCAGCAACAGCAGCAGCAGCATCTGGAAGTCACCGAGTGAGTTGGAGAGAGGGAAAGAGAGCAGTTCCAGGGCAGAACTTTTCTCAAGGCAAAGGTGATTTTATGTTTATAACATTTGGAGAATGGCTTAATTCAAAAGGGAGAAAGAAATATGTGTTCTCGAAGGCGTCTTACTGACTGTAACTTTCTCCTATTTCTGGCATCCGCCCCAAGTTGCGAACAGCTTCTTTTTCTTCCCTTCCGTTAAACGATAAAATTTCACTTCTAATATTCTTGCTGGGTCTTTTCCTACTTTTCCTACAGAATGCTTTCATATCAGATTCTAAATAACAGCAACTCTGAACTAATTCACCACTTTACACTTGTTGCTACCAAACCGAGCCGTAAACGCTCCCTGGGCTCCAGCAGGATGGATGGATGGATAAACCTAGAGTACGGCTAATGCTAGTTTTACTCGCTCACGTGAGAGTAAGTTGACTTGTGAGTTTGAACGCGGCTGGAGCGTTTTGAGAATTGTTTTCGGCGTTTTATTTAGACAAACGCGGTTAAACTTTGACCGGCACAGCGTCGCTTTTGGGGCCGTTTTAACAGGTGAAAGTGTCGCTAGCTGTAGCCTTTAGCCCCGCTGGCTTCTGTTGCTACAACGGTTACCAACGTTCGGCTCGCGACACTTTCAGTGAGGTTCACACTGGAGGGTTTTTACTCTTTTTTCATAAAAAGAACTTAAATTTTAAAACATTTTTAAGCGAAGTAGAGAGACATTACATGTTTTATGTGTTTTCTCTTAAAATAAAACTTACCGTAATTATCAGAATATCCAATGCTTAAAATGGTTCCCTATAAAGTTAAATTGCTTTCAGTATTTCTGGCCTAACTTTATTAACACGATGAGTTACAGCTAGGTGGTGCCACTGCATGAAGATTCCTACTGTTATACTGTTGTGTTTAAAGTCCTTTTATTGATTTATAAGGATAATTTGTTTCCTTAATATAAAGTGATTGGAGTTAACTTTAGACTTGCTTCTATAACCATTTATTATTATTAGACAAGGCCTTAGAGGATAGTTGTTTTCAGCTGTGTTTTATTTGTTCAATTTGGCAGCAGTTTTATTTATCTGAATCTCAGCCATAAATCTGATGAGAAGAATGGATAAAGTAGATCCCTGGGATTTTTAGAGGCCATATCTTTCGTTTTTATAGTTTTTCTCTACAAAACACTACAAATTCTCTTTTCCTGTCAGCTTTTTGCCTTGTTTTGTCTCAGGGGGGACATTATTCCTCAGAACCTGTTTCCTGAAAAACATCCCATCAGGTTTTTGATGTTTTATAGTTTGTACCATGTAAATTAAATCAGCGATCTGTTTGGTAAAGACACACAGATCAATGATAATTTTTTTTGCCAGTTTCCAAACTGTGTTCTACTTTAAAAAAAATAGTTTTATGTAAAGAAGGGCTATCTTAATGTTTTAGCCTAAACTTGTATTTTTCTAGAAATGGAAGGGTAGAAGAATATGTTTTCTGTGCTTTCTAAAAAGTAGACCTTCTTAACTCATCACCTTAAATCTCCAAATACAATACATTTCTACAAGGTGTGATAAAGTCAGATCATTGTACTTTAACAGCCTCTTTACACCAGTCAATGAGAAGCCAGTTAGGTTTGGATCAGAGGTGATATGACTTTGTGTGAGGAAGTGTTACATTACCATCTCAAAGACAGAAAGATTACGGCGTTGACACTTTAAAATGTCTTTAGCATCTTATATCAACACTTAAATCAATAACAACCGTCTAGATTATCGTTTCTGCTCTGAGATTCCATAAAAATTCCGGTATTTCCATATCCAGCATCTGATCCGTGTTGCTTTTATTCCCACCTAGATGTGGATTTTAGTTCAATTTCCCACAGAAAGGCAACGTAAAAAAAAGCTAGAAGTTTCTGTTTCCGATGCAGGCAGGTCTAAGAGGAAAGGGATGTGGAAACCTGGTGGAGCAGAACATAAATAATTGTTTTTCTGTCTAACTTTGTGTTTTTCGCCACTTGTTTGCAAGAAACTTAAATTTTAGAAGCTTCAACTTTATGCTTATAATCCCTGTGTTAAGAACCCAATATGAACTCTGTGACTTGGTTCTGCTGCGTTTCCATTCACATTTTCCATATTTGTTCCAAGTTTGTGTTATCAGAGCAAATCTGTTTTCCTCAAACTAAATGTTCCTCACATTTTTAAATGCTGTTCCCTTGGAGTGCTACCAACTACTTCCAAATGTAAATCTCTGTTTTGGAGTGCGATAATTCGATCAGTCAGACATTCCTCACAGAGGCAATAAGAGCAAATCATAACAGTGATATCAAAGCGATGACTCTGCTGAAACTGTAAAACCTCCACCAGCCCCACCTCCCTGTTTAAGCGTGACACTGTTATGTTTACATGGCAACTTGATACACAAAAACACAGAAGGCATGGAAAGAAAAGGGGTCAGAGTTGGCCAAGGAATGAAATGTCCGGATCAGGTATATTTTATCTACCTCTGCTTGCTGCCGGGCTGCATACCTTTAGTTTCCGCTGGCAGGTCTGAGAGAAAAGCTATGTGGAAAGCATCTGGTGAAACAGTGCAGAAGTATTTTATTTTATTTCTAATGTTGCTTCAATAATGTGATGAATAGCTCTGGGCTTATCATTCTGTCTAAAGCTATTTTAGCTCAAAACTGGTGTGATTTCATGGAAAAAAGCTGTTGCTATAAATTGTTGGATTGTTATATTACATGATTAGGCACTTGTAGAGCTCAGTATGCAGTAGAACAGCTGCAGAGAGCAGTGGGTGACTCCACTGACCTAACTCAGCTTTTACTTATTTGTTCAATCTGAGTGAATTGTCTGTGTGTGTTTATAGGTGTGTTGTGGTGCTGGTTGCTAATGGAGTATTTAGCAGTCCTCACTAGAACCCTCTGTGACCCTCAGGGAAAACGTTTTAGCTTACTATAGATTAGTCATTGTGGAGTGATCCTATAGTATCGAAACTTTTATAAAAAAAAAAAAAACAGCAATTGTGATGTTTGTGTATAGTTTGAATAAAAAGTAATGCAAGGAACAAATATCCCAACCGCTTCATAAAATGGATGGTTGGACATTTAAGTTGGATGTGCCTTTCAACTACCACCTTTTAGCGGTTTTGGTTTTTGTAGTTTCCACACTCTGATGTAGTCATTGCATTTCAAAGCATGTCCAAACAGCTGAATTTGTCATATAAACGAAGGAACGGCTCCGTTCCCTCTTTCAACCAGATGAGCAACAGTGTGTTGCAACAGGTGGGCAGGGTTCAGGCTGAGTTATTTATGTTGAAATTTTCTCTTGTACCTGTTTAAAATAACTGGAAAGGGTCCCTTTTTTTTCTTACCTTCATACAAGATGTCGAATACAATCTGCTAATCTCCCGAAGAGCTGACTGTCATGCATTTGATGTTTGCATATGTGTCTTTTGAAAAGGGAGATCTATTTTTGCACTTGCCTTTCTCATTTTTTAAGATCCAGTTAATGGTTTATAGCTGAACCCATGTCATAGCATGTCAGGAAATCACACGGCAGAACAGAACGGCTGAGAGCAGAACGCCCTGTGGGGGCTTGTTAAATAGAAATGTGCCATTAGTACATAAATTTTATGTTACACTTTCATTATCTCCACAAGTCACTGGTCTGTTGAGTGACACGCTGTTATCTGTAAGCAGAACTGTCTCTGTTGCATTAAGTCAATCTAGAGAGATTTTGGAAACTGTGAGGGTTTTCTTGCTGCTAGGAGACGGAGAAACAACTCTTGTTGTTCCCTCCGAAAATGCGATCACCGATTCGCCCTCGTGTGCTGGTAACAAGCCGAGACTTGTTGTGAAATGAAATGTTTTTCCCTCTGTACCCCACGTCTGAGTGTATGTGTCATCAGCTGCATACCTTGCATTACACCTGCTTGTTTCATGGTTACACAACTGCTAATTAAATTTCCTGCCACAAACTGAAGACAAGGGAGCAAGATTTGCATTAGAATGACCCACCCCCTCCCTGGGTTCAGGCGGATAACTGCAGACCCCTATTTGCTCCCCACTTTTCCTTTCCTTTGTGGAGTTAAGGGCTAGTTTGGCAATAAAAAGGTCTGTTGGTGTAGACCTGCCTCAAAGTTCTAAAAGGATCCCAGATTAATCTTTTTTGTTGAGCTAAGTTTTCAGCAGTCAGCAAAGAATGAGATGCAGAATGAGTTTTTAGATTTTCTCTTAGTTCTACAACATTTTTTTAACCAAGCATGGGAAGCAGTGGCAAAGACTCAGAGAAGACCCAGCTTTGTTTCAGCCCACATCTGGATGTGGATTTGCTGTTCTTTAGATCCTCGTTTTAATCATCCACAGTTTTCTCTTCCCCCACACCAGATTTAAATAGCTTTACCCTGGTCCTTGTGGGACACGTGTTCCATTTCTTTAGCATGTTAATATTTAGTACTAATACATGTAGAGGGCTCCTCAGAAGGACTGCAAGGCGAGTGTGCCGCTCTACCTATGAAGGTTTGAAAGAGAAATTCGCAGCAGTTGGAAAATCTGAACTTTAGTGTATTTTCGCATCACAACATACAACAGAAGTAGATGCTGTCACTCAAGATGAGAGATGGAGAAAATAATTTTGACAAAGGATATAGTAGGGAATGCCCTAATCAGTTTGAAGGTGGCTTTTAAAAATGCAGTTTTAATTCAGCCCTAGAATGACTGTCAAATTATTTATCGTTCGTAATTTCCTTAGCTCCAGCACAGACACCGTCCAGTTGCTGCCGCCTCTCCGCGGTTCTGCTCAGCAGACTTCTCTGATCCCTCGCTGTTCTCCAGCTGTGGGTTGCTGCTCTGATTTCCTGCAGCTTGTGTCTTGAGCCGTCTCACCTTACCTTAAGCTCTACTAAAAGCAGCCGTGATGCCGTTGATCCCGGACACCCTGAATAGGCAGCGTCTCTGGAGGATCTGCTGGATCCATGGACGCTGGGTTTTTTTTTCAGCTCTTCAAAGTAAATAAAGCACCACCAATTGACAAACAACAGAATAAATGCTGTATTGGAGGCTCTTGCCAGTTG